GGCACAGCGTGGTTTAGCATAAGGAGTTAACTTTATCATCTGGTAACAGTTTTTAAAAAAAACCTAGACATGATCCTGTGGAAATCGTCCCCAAAATTATTATTTAAACAAAAAATAATAATAAAAAAAAATAAAAAGAATTTTACACAGGTCACTATTAAATCATTTACTAATTCATTTATCTACACTTTACAAAATATAAATATATATTTATAAAGGAAATAGTAAATCGGCATGAACAAAGTGGAGCAGTAAATGAAATTCATCTCCTGTGCCTAAAATATATCCAATCAGGAGACTAATGTCATGACTCTGTGATCTCTATTGTTGAGGCTTATGGGAGAAAATGTGACGTCAGCTGGGCTATAAAAAAAAAAAAAAAGGCTTTTGGTCCACAGAAAAAACCCTAAATTGGTTTTTTAGTTGCTATATTATTATCCTGACCTCCTTAACATTTACACAGGTGCAAGCTCAGCCAATATCATTATCTATACCATTATAGAGCTGACTGGTCTCAGGGCATGGTTTCCGTCTCGAGTGCTGGAGGTCCCGGGTTCAGGCCCCGGTGAAGGCAGTGATTTGTTTCACTAGGACTTTTAGTAATTTCCCCTGGCCTCTGGGTAGTAAAACTGGACGCCGTGTGTATTGTTGCGCATGTAAATAAAATCTTTTGGCAGTTGAAAACCGAAAAGAGTAGACTAACGATGCTGCCCGAGCAAAATTCTGAGTTAAAAATCTACCTAAAGCATTTCAGGATCCTCAGCAGTGCTACGGAGTTTGTGCACTGTGCTGAGATTCTTCAGAATCAGGCTTGAGTTATATGTAGAACGGAAAACTTATGGATTTCTACCCTTTTGCCATGATGTTGATCTGTCATATAAACAGTTACCTATGCATCTTATAAACACATCACTTTAGACAGGTCAGATGGGTGACATTTATTGGGAACTGGAAGTGTCAGTTGTGTGGCTTCTCGGGGGACAGGGAAAATACAAATGAATATTGTAAGTAGTAGTGAATGAGTTAATCTATGGTAGTGTAGTAGCTAGCACTCATGCCTGCTCACCTGGTGGTCAGGAGTTCAAAACTGGACTGAGGTGGGTATTAAGGAATTGCTCCCCCAGGTTGACCCAGCCTAAAATGAGTACAATAAATATACTTGGAAGTAAAGGCGGCTGGCATCATATTGACTACATCACCTGTCAATAAGAACCAGTTTATAAAACTTTAGGACTAGCAAAATATGTCCCATGTGTCCCAAGGCATAAACATGATTCATTACTGGATGCTTCACTGCTCAGCTGTACCTAGTAAACTATCACTACTGTCTTTATTTACGATGAGCCTGAGGATGTATAATTCTGCCCACGATAGAAAAACCTCTTTACCTTACCGGGGGTCGAACCTGGGTCTCCCACATAAGAGCCTGATGTTGTAACCACTCGACCAGCAGCTCCTCATATCTAGTACTGGCCTATTTAAGTGAAGATCCTTTTTATACCAGTGGTGCGTCAGGCATATGATTTTAACTTATATTTTTACAGACCAGTCGGCTCTCGGTGGTCAACATCAAGGGGCCACCTTTACTACTCAGGACATTACCTGCTATCCATTTTAGGCTGAGTCTACCTGGGAGCTGAAGCCAATTTGAAAAAAAAGGTTGTTTGGTATTAGTCGAGTTTCTAACTTTACAGCAGATGTCTCATGACTGCTGCGATCCTGCACCAGTGGATATCCCATTAGCAGTCCCAGCCAAATCTTGAAGCTTATACAGGCAAAATAATAAAGCAGCTATCAGATGTGTCCTGATACAGATTCAAACCCACAACCTTTAGGTAGACATTTAGCCAGTGCATGCTTGCTGCTCCTTTGCACAATAAACAAATATAAACCACCCAAAATAAAGGAAAATCAGAAGCAGTAAACAAAATCATAAAAGCCTCAGACAAACTCAGTCCAAAATAACATGAAAAAACAGTTTTTTTTCCTTTCTAAATGGCAGAAACTATTTGAGTGAAAACAAAGAGAAACAGAAGCACAAGGTTTGAAGAACAATCATAATACTGAATGAGGAAAGAGCAACAACTCATTTCACAGGCAACAGGCAGTGTGATAAAGGTTGCTTGACAGGAAGAAAATATTTATAATAATGTAAGCAAGACAATATTTGCAAGATGGAATCAACATCTCACACTCCTAAATATTTACCATTACAATAAAGTGATTATGAGGATTATAACTGAAACAATCCATGATGCAAGTGAAATTATGCTGAAACATAACAATGATTGATATTGAATAAAAAATGAATTCAATTCGGCCAGGATTTTGCCAGTTTGTTGGTAAAATATAAGTAAACCACACCATTTGAGAATATTAATATTAATTTTATTTTTACATATATAAATCAAAATAAATGCTATCCCAATACACCAGACACTATAAAATAAAGGTGGATGTTATTCTTACACAGCAGCCACACAACACATTGTCTTCTTCTTCTTCTTCTTACAGTCCTGAGCTATTCAACTGGCAGCTCACGGGTCAAATATGACCAGCTGAGGTCTAACTGGTAGCCCATGGATCACATGTCCATTGTATTGATTAATGGTCTTTCTAAGATGGGGCTAGTGCCTCTAGCCCACAACAGTCCCAATTTTTCAACATGTTGACCAGCTTACAAAACTAGTTGAATAGCCACGTTACAGTCCATGCCATGTGGTAATTCACCACAGTTCACAGCCTTCTACCTTGTGTACTGTCAACTCTGTGTGGCTTCGGGGGCCCCATTGTAGGAAAAGCAGGAACAGACCCACTGCCTACCCAAATAAAAGAAAAATGGATACACGCGCAAAATTCAGGTTCTGGGACAAAGCTAAAGTCCAAACAGACGAACAACCAGGACTTTCCGCCAGAGCTTACAGCCAAGGAACAAAGAAGAAGAAGAAGAGTTTACTGTCAATCTTTTCTGATACAGATGTTCTCTCAGACCATGATGCCAAATTGTCCATCTTTTCTCTTGGTCTCCCTACGCCTCCACTTTCCTTCAACTCTACCATTGGCAGTATGTACTTCAGTGTTTTCCTTTTCCATAACGCAACCAAAAAATATAGATTGCCTGCTTCTGATGTGTATTATCAGTTCTCTTCATGACTTAACTTCTTTCAAGACTTCTTCATTACAATTTTTATCTGTTCTCACGATACATCTTTAAATCATATCTGTGCAGCTTCCACATAATTTTTCATTAACCTTACTGAATGTCCATTACCAACAGCATAAATCCAGACTGACTCTAGACACAGATAACACCAAATTTCCACTTGTTTATTTCAACAAACAAATACAAAGTTCAACATTCGTTAGAAAAGTAGTCTGATACCTGCAAACACACATCAGTCTTGAAAAATATGCCTCCCTTAAGGTTGGCTAACAAAAGAAAGCTGAGCAAAAAAAAAAAGGTTTACAACAAAGTTGCTGACGCCTGGATCAGTAACTTGTAACATTTTTTTGTTGGTTAGATATGTATAAACTGTAACATGTTGTAAATGGCTACTGTGAAAACTGTCACATAAATATCAGTAAACATTTGACTGCAGTAACAAAATACGGTGAGATGCCAAAAACATATTGTCAGGTAATCTATCAGCAAAAATAGGTGCTGTGGTAGTGCAGTGGTCAGACGCTTGCCTGCATACCCAAAAGTCTTAAGTTCGAAGAAACACTGAGGTGGATTTTTATAACTGACCTTGGCTACAGGTCAACTCAGCTTAAAATAGGCATTAGGAAATATCAGGGAAAGTAGGGTCTGCCAGCAGATTGTTGACTACATCAACCATCAAATGTTGATTGTTCTATAAAAACTGGCATCTGTGGCTTAGGCACTGGGAACATGCTTCATAGTTCCAAGGTAACCGGTTCACTTCTATCAATTCTGACAGCAGTATCCAACTGCTCAGAAAGCAATGGCAAAACTAATGAATGTAAAACTGCCTAGTAAAACCAAACAGCCAACAAATACTGCATTCTGTTTGTAAAGGATACACAACTAACTTTTTTTGTTACTATAAAAAATGGGTCAAGCACCATATGCCTATGTGTCTGATGTGAAATGGGTCCTTTTATTATTTCTTTTTTTTTATATATATCAGAAAAAACCACATAATTATGTAACTGCATCTTTCTTTAGCAAACACAGTGTTTTTAAAGTTCTTGATACAATTTGTATGTAGAACAAATTTGCGAAATGAAGTATCAATAAAAAAAAATCTGCTCCAGTCTATGGTTAAGCAGTATGCAGTAAATGGCTGTTGTCTGCCGGAGTAATTCATTCATTGCACTCAAAACAGAATGGTGTTATCAACAGAAGAAAGAATTTTCGTGGTGAAACGAGTGTTTTGAAATGGCGGTTGATACACACGGATGGTTGTTCACAGATTTACAGCAATGTTTCCTGATAAACAACATCCTAATCGCATTACAGTTAGAAAGTTGTTGTTTTTATAATGAATATTTCACTGGTAATTTCCAGCTTTCCCAAAACAGCATGAGACCTTAGCAGTAACTATTTTAACTAATTTGAAGACACTTTTTTCAAGCACACTGTTTAATGACATTATGCACTTGGATTTTTAAAAATTTGTTCTGCATGCAGAGTGTAGTGAGACTTTACAAGCACCCTATACAATAGGTTAATATTAACCCGAAATGTAACAAATATGGCAATGATGATAAGGACACAATTCATAACCTTCGCCCCATATTGAAAATTCCTTGTTTGCTTTCCACATAAAACTTACAAAAAAGTTAGCTGACCAAAATAAGTGATCAATTTACATCTTTGCCAGATGTGTTTAACAGCAAGTTTTGACAAGGGAGACAATGGTCTGATGAACAACTAGCCTATCAGTGATAACAACTAGCCTATCAGCATAGAATAAAATATTATTGTTGGTTGAAATGACTGCATAAATTAAACTGCATCAGAGATGGTTGAAGGATTATTCAATAAGTTCAACATAATTAGAAGGAAACATTCCATATGAGCCATTGGGGGCAAACCCTTGCCACCACCCATCGTCGATTTGTTCAATGTTTGTGATTATGTCCTCAGGATCAAATGAGATCTCTGTGTCATCAGCTGTTGACAAACAAAAGAGTCACATGTTAACTTATCTGGAACATTTAGTCAATATATAACTCAGCTGTTCAAGGAAATGTCTTGGGATGTAAAGATGTTGAGCAGGATGCTGGCCTTTTAAGTGCTGGTGATGTCATTAGTGATTAGTAAGGATTATCATCACAGCACTCCAGACATATCCACAGTTGATCCAATCTCCTCCTCAAAAGCTCCACAATTGTAAAACGACTGATGACGCCTGTTCTGTGTTGGTTAATGAAACGTCTTGTCCCCTTGGTGAAATTTTCATTTCTTGCAGCTCCAGGCTGCACCCCCATGTCCATCAGCCTAGACAGGGATATGGAGTCATGCCACTGGACGTGCTTGCCGTCACGGTAACTGCTACACATGGCATTGATAACATTGCTTCTGTCCAGTACTGAACCAGCCATAGCAATAGCAGTGTCAGCAAGATAACCTGCATGCTCGTTCACTTGAACACCCGCATAACCTGACAGAAAGATGAAGGTTAAGGCAGCCATTCGCGAACTGCTTAGTGTTACAATCCATTCTTGTCTGATATAACCAGTGTGGATTTTTTAAAGCATATTCATCGAGTCACACTAAGTATGCACTCGTTTGTGAACTCTTGAGTACCAAGCCATGTTAATGCCCTTGTTACAGCCAAAGTTTCCATTGTAAGACTACTAGTTGTAACAGCAAAGGCGCCTTTCATTTCCTTGACCGTCTTCTCGTTATAGCTTAATGTTAATGCGCATGCACTTTGCTCATCCCGAATTACTGATCCGTCTGTAAACTGTAGTATCACCCTCATCTGCGTTTCGTCAATCAGTGCTCTGACTATAGTGCCCACAATGCCATGAATCTGCTCTCTACAGCATTGGGATGTGGGCTGTACTGTTAATGTTTGCAGCAGGAGGCAGGTTGAGAACCGCTGCTCTAGTGCATCCAAGAATAATATGCATTGCCTCGTTTTCAATTTTTTCCAGTCTGTTTATCTGTGTGGTGCTGAGTGCCATGATGCAAGTGTATATTCAATAGTGGATAGAACTAATGCATGATATAACATAACAAGTAGCTGTTGCTCAGAGTTTGCAGCTCCTATAACTTTTATTGCGGAGAGACCTTTCTTGGCTTTGGTTTATTGTAGTTTACATGTTATTTAAATGCTAAGCATCTGCCAAATGTTATGCCAAGGTATTTCATTGAATCAAATCTTTTCATGTCAGCGCCACAGAGTTTTACTATCGGTATTGGTGTTTTGGAAAGGTGATTATTTAATGACAACCAGGTGACTGTCGCTTTTGATGATTATTGTTGCCCTGAGGTGTTGCACCAGGATAATATGCGATCTAATTCCTGTTGTAGATCCGAAACAATGTCATCTCTGTTCCTGCCCTGTAGGTACACACGGATGTCATCCTCATAGAGTTCTTCCTCTGCCGCTAAGTTGCTCTCCTCTGATCTTGACTGTGTAAATGTTGAAGAGGATAGGAGACAATGTAGAGCCTTGTGGCAAACGGTGTTGTGTTACGGGCTTAGAAGACCAACTACCACATCAAAGCATGACCTTCCTCTGTTATATGCATCCTTCAGATCTACGGCGACTGCACATGTTTCAAAGCCAGCTTGAAAACCTTCATACGTGTCATGTACAAAGATGTTAGCATCAGGCCATATCTCCTTGTTTTGTCTGTATCCTCTAAGTGTGGTGGGGTAGCAGCTGATGTACTTCAAGTTGGCTTGCCAGTCTTCTGGTTAATATCATTTCCACTGTTTTGCCTAGTGTGTTCCGCATCGTAATGATGGTATTAAACAGCAGGGGCTAACAAAATATGTGAAATGTGTCAAGGGTGAGAAGTTACTTTTGCTTACATACTCAGCTTATTTTGTTTCACTGACATGTTTGAAAAGACGTCTGTCAATCAGGATTATTCCTTTTTTTTAAAAATTGTTTGTATCATGACAAAGACTGAAAGTTTGTACGAGTTTGCATTGTTTGTTTGAGCTTTCTAGTCATATTTCAACAACTGAGTCCACAGGGCCTTCAAGACTCCAGTCTAGCAGTCAACAAACACAACTGAGTCCACAGGGCCTTCAAGACTCCAGTCTAGCAGTCAACAAACACAACTGAGTCCACAGGGCCTTCAAGACTCCAGTCTAGCAGTCAACAAACACAACTGAGTCCACAGGGCCTTCAAGACTCCAGTCTAGCAGTCAACAAACACAACTGAGTCCACAGGGCCTTCAAGACTCCAGTCTAGCAGTCAACAAACACAACTGAGTCCACAGGGCCTTCAAGACTCCAGTCTAGCAGTCAACAAACACAACTGAGTCCACAGGGCCTTCAAGACTCCAGTCTAGCAGTCAACAAACACAACTGAGTCCACAGGGCCTTCAAGACTCCAGTCTAGCAGTCAACAAACACAACTGAGTCCACAGGGCCTTCAAGACTCCAGTCTAGCAGTCAACAACACAAACTGAGTCCACAGGGCCTTCAAGACTCCAGTCTAGCAGTCAACAAACACAACTGAGTCCACAGGGCCTTCAAGACTCCAGTCTAGCAGTCAACAAACACAACTGAGTCCACAGGGCCTTCAAGACTCCAGTCTAGCAGTCAACAAACACAACTGAGTCCACAGGGCCTTCAAGACTCCAGTCTAGCAGTCAACAAACACAACTGAGTCCACAGGGCCTTCAACTTGACTCCAGTCAGCACAAACACAACTGTCAACAAACACACTAGCAGTCACAACACAACTGAGTCCACAGGGCCTTCAAGACTCCAGTCTAGCAGTCAACAAAACACAACTGAGTCCACAGGGCCTTCAAGACTCCAGTCTAGCAGTCAACAAACTACAACTGAGTCCAGCATCAACAGGGCCTTCAAGACTCCAGTCTAGCAGTCAACAAACACAACTGAGTCTTCCTGCTCCTGCTGCTGCTCCTCCTCCTCAGGTTCCTCAAAATGCTGTGCACCACTGACACGACGAGACTGAGTCTCTGCATGGTGCTGCTCTGCCGTGTAGTCTTCGTGAAAGGAAGGCACTCGTTTTTCCCTGAACTCAAAGTCCTCAGCAGGTGGAGCTGTGTTGTAGAAAAGTGATACTTTTTATAATTTATAAATGAAAGAATTAATTAATAACAGTTATCAGTGCACTCAGGACATTTCCCCACATGTTCGGTCCTCTTTAAACAGTTTGTACAGTGGATTGGCACCTGAGACGATAGATCACGTCCTTCAAGTCTGTCCCAAATGAAAAACATCAAGGCAAACCTTTTGGACAAGAGAAACACCGGTGCAAGCCAAAAGACAGTGAAGTTCATACTAGAGACAATATTGCAGACATAAATATTTCAACAGAACAAAAGAAGAAGAAGAAGAAGAAGAAGAAGAAGAAGAAGAAGAAGAAGAAGAAGAAGAAGAAGAAGAAGAAGAAGAAGAAGAAAAAGAAAAAGAAGAAGAAGAAAAGGTAGAAGAAGAAGTTTATATATTGATGATGCAAATCTGACAAGAACTATTTTTTTGCCAACTTTATGCTACAAATATCAAACATGGACCTATAATAAAACTAATGAGTACGAAATCATAAAAACAGAGATGAGATGCCTTAGAAGAGCTGCCATAGTAATGAAAGGAAAAGTAATTAAAAGTGAACAAATTAAACAGAGTCTAGAACTGAAACCAGTCATTCAATTCATTAAAGAGCAACAGATGAGATGGTTTGGCCATCTGATAAGAATGCCCTGGTACCTATTGCCACAAGGAGCCGTGCTGAAGAATTGAACACAGAGATAGGGAAAGACCATGGACAATCTGGAATGGTGCAATGAAACTGATCCTCTTAACTTCAAAAACCATTTTTGTTGATGCTGGTGGCAACCTAACTAAAAGTACAGTGATACCTCAGCAGCACATTTTTGGGCTAACGAGTATAAATTAGGCTAACATACGTTTTAGTGCGTGCATGCACACACTAACATAATGCGACCGCGTTGTGAGCTGGATTTTTTGCACCAATCACAATTCCGCTAATGAAGATTTCGACCAATAAAGACGTGACAGCGTGGTGAAAATTTTCAGGTTCCAAACCAGTCACTTTATGTTAAAACACCAAACCAGATACTTCAGAACAAGGCTGACTTAAACATAACTATTCACATAAACTTGCTCAGGCGGAGCAGAATCATTCATAACTAACGAGACTAATGTTTGCCTACCATCCCAGTCCTGGTCTTCCTCCTCAGCATCAGAGTCATGGCGAGGTGGCAGACCATCACGCAGCAAGTCTCGAGTCTTGGGAATTGATGCGGTCACACCTGGAGCTGCATCAGACTCTGATACCCGTTCAAATCTCTGAGGCTAGAGAGAAGTGAAAAAATAAAAACAAAGTTAGTTGCGTATCCTTTTACAGAATGTTGCAGAACCAACCCCAGTATTTTTTACTGTTGTGGTTTTTCTAGGCAAATTTACATAAAGTAGTTTGTCATTGCTTTCTAGTTGGTCGGCTTCTCGATAAAGCTGTATAAACCAATGCAAGGCCTTCAACTGAGGTCCAACCTGGCACTGGGCATTATGAAGAGCGCTCACAAAGCCTAAGCCACAGACGCCGCGAGAGTAGTACAAATTAAAAAGAATTTTAAAAATTGCATATATTCTTAAGGATGTTGAAAGACAACCTCAGCATTTATTTGCTGTCTGTAGTTTCTACTGACGAGTAGCTGGCCAAGTGGATAGAATGCTCTCGGGCAGGAGACCTGAGTTAAAATCTTCAGTAAGGTAACAAGTTTTTTTTCTGTTAGAGACATCAAAGAAAATCCTAACCTACGCAGCTCATGTAGACTTTTTCTTCTTTACGTCCTCTTTTACCGATTTGAGTGTCGAGTGAGATATAAGGTCCTATTTCTTGCTCTTCTGGTTGTTTCGACCATAGACAGATCGTGGTACTAAAGAGTTTCTCTGATGTTATCTTCACATATTTTTCTTGGTCTACCTCTTGCTCTTTGTCCCTCTTCTCTTTTGGTATATGCCTTGTATGGTATAGCATCAGAATGTTGACTGCACTAGACAATCCTCAGGCTCAACACCCTTTTCCCCCCAGCCTAAATGTGAGACTACAGGCAGTAAAGACAGTTGTTTTTTTTTACTACCAGGCAATTTTACATTCAGTAGTTTGCCATTGCTTTCTGAATGGTTAGACACGGAGACTATTGTTAGAACCAACGCAATATGGTCTAATATCAAAGATAAAACAATGTTTTTCCATTGTAATTTAAGTAATGTAGACAGAAAATAAAACACAGGAATTCTTTTTCTTCTTTTGCATGAGCCCCTAAATGGGCAGCCTGCACACTGTGCTGTGGGTTACAGCTAGGCTGTGATATCTGCTAACACATAATTACATGTATTATATATGTTTTCTGATGCTTGGATGCTGGCAATGAGTTCATCATTACGAACTTCCTGTGTGGGTTCCGGAACCCAAATGGGAGGGAACAGACCCACTGCCCATAACAAGCATGTCGTAATAGTCTACCAATTAGGGATGTTTCCATCAAAGTCGAGTGCAAAAGAGGCAAGGAACCAACAGTCCGCATACAAATAAACGAGATCTGTAAAATGGATATGCATGCAATGCTTAGGTTATGGAAGAAGATCAAAGTCCAGAGGAGGACAAACAACCGGAACCCTTCTGCCAGAGTTTACAGCCAGCGAACACAAAAAAGACAATCATTAAAAACAGAAATTGGATTTCTCGGCCTAGCTACAATTCAATCATTTTGAATTGTGAAAACTACCCGAGACAACAAGAAAGAACTGTTACCTGCACCGGTTCTGGTTCATTTTCTGGTTCTGCCACAATTTCTGGCTCAGGCTCTGGCTCTGGTTGCCGAGTAGGTTTTGATGGTGGCTCAGGCTCACTTCTAGCTGGTATTTTGATTGGTTCTTTTCTGGCAGGAGGTGCCTGTTCTGCATTGTTCTGTTGGTCACCAAACCCATGACGAATTTTTCTGTAACAAAACATTCATGTCTATTATTCTGAATTCTACCAAACACACAGCAAATTTTTCTGTAATAAAACATTTGTATCTGTTATTCTCAATTCTACCAAACACACAGCAAATTTTTCTGTAACAAAACATTCGTGTCTATTATTCTCAGTTCTACCAAACACAAAACATTTGTGTCTATTATTCTCAATTCTAATAAAAACACAGCAAATTTTTCTGTAACAAAACATTCATGTCTATTATTCTCAATTCTACCAAAAACACAGCAAATTTTTCTGTAACAAAACATTAACGATTTTGATTTTCACTTCCATGAAATCCTTGAAGTTTACTGTAACAAAACAATCATACCAAATCTTATCATTTCCACCAAACCATTGTAAAAATTTTCTGTAACCAAAATAAAAAATAAAATAAAAATTGAGACAGTTATTCTATAGACAACATAATGTGCAGAGATTAGAAGATCTTGTGTGGGTACATCATTTATTTCTTCAAGAACACATCAAGGTAGAGATTAGTATGACTTAAGTGGGTGTTTTATTTCTGAGTCAGATATCCTTCAGACACACATCAAACATGAAGACGAACTGTATTATGTGGGTAATTCATTACTGGGTTAAACACCCTTAAATACGGACATCAATTCTGGTGTCATGTACATTGTATATTTTATTTCTAAGTCAAATGTTCCAGATCCAAACAGAAACAATGCTTTAAAATGTGAATATTTCACTTCTGAGTTAAAACCCTTCAGACACATAAAATACTTCAGACACATAAAATACTTCAGACACATAAAATACTTCAGACACATAAAATACTTCAGACACATAAAATCCTTCAGACACATAAAATACTTCAGACACATAAAATACTTCAGGCACATAAAATACTTCAGACACATAAAATACTTCAGACACATAAAATACTTCAGGCACATAAAATACTTCAGACACATAAAATACTTCAGGCACATAAAATACTTCAGACACATAAAATACTTCAGGCACATAAAATACTTCAGGCACATAAAATACTTCAGGCACATAAAATACTTCAGACACATAAAATACTTCAGACACATAAAATACTTCAGGCACATAAAATACTTCAGGCACATAAAATACTTCAGACACATAAAATACTTCAGGCACATAAAATACTTCAGGCACATAAAATACTTCAGGCACATAAAATACTTCAGACACATAAAATACTTCAGACACATAAAATACTTCAGACACATAAAATACTTCAGACACATAAAATACTTCAGACACATAAAATACTTCAGGCGCATAAAATACTTCAGATACATAAAATACTTCAGACACATAAAATCCTTCAGACACATAAAATCCTTCAGACACATAAAATACTTCAGATACATAAAATACTTCAGACACATAAAATCCTTCAGACACATAAAATCCTTCAGACACATAAAATACTTCAGACACATAAAATACTTCAGGCACATAAAATACTTCAGATACATAAAATACTTCAGACACATAAAATCCTTCAGACACATAAAATACTTCAGACACATAAAATACTTCAGACACATAAAATACTTCAGACACATAAAATACTTCAGACACATAAAATACTTCAGACACATAAAATACTTCAGGCACATAAAATACTTCAGGCACATAAAATACTTCAGATACATAAAATACTTCAGACACATAAAATACTTCAGACACATAAAATATTTCAGACATATAAATTACTTCACATGCACATAAATGGGATTGTCTTCTTCTTCTTCTGCATTTATCTAGAATTTTTGTTAAGCCTATTTACAGTACATTTGCACCAGCTGGTCGACAACTTCTTCCAAGTGTATGTTGACTATATAATATTCCCAGGTTTCTAATCATCTCTATATTTTTCCGTCCTTGAAAAAGGTCTGCCATTTCTGAAACATGATCAAGCTTTGTATTCCTTAGTCTCTGAATTTTCTTACGACTGTTAAATGTGTCTTATTTCCTTTATTACAAAATTCATAATAATCATTGCAAAGAATAGTACATAGAATTTGTATTCATTGTTTCACAGTCTATGTTTCACTATCTTTTTTTGTTTTTGTTTAACCCTCTCACCCCAGGAACACTAAACAAAAGGTGTCATATAAAAATCTTGTTGGATTTCTAGAGAAAAAAAAATTCTGTAAAAACAAATATAAATTTTAACACAGGTCACTAACATATTCGTTTAAAAAAAATATATATTTACCTAAATTTTGTCTTTTTTTTTTTAATAGAAATATGTAGATGTATAAAAGGAGTAAAATATCAGGAGGGTGAAGCATTAAATGGAATACATACCCCATGGCCTTAAAAAACATGTATCAGGTGACCCATGCCATGACGACATACCTCTATCACTGAGGTTTATGGAAAAATATACGGCAACTTCACTTCAACAAAGCCATTTAGCTCAAAGGAAACACCCTAAATGATACTGTTAGCTAATGTATTTATATCCTGACCTCCTAAGCATTTGTAGGTGCAAAAACAGCCAACAGCATTCATTATGCATCTCTTAATAAAGTCATTTTCCCCTGTGGTTTCCAGGGCCCTATTATAGGGAAAACAAGAAAAGACCCACTGCCTACCCAAAAGCATGTCATAAGAGACGAATAATTGGGAGATTCCTTCAAAGTGGAAGTCCATCTGCCTGAGAGGCAAGGAACCAACAGTCTGCATACAAATAACTCAGACCTATAAAACAATTGTGCATGCAACACTCAGGTTCTGGAACAGGACTACAGTTCGGAAGTGGATGAACAACCAGAACTTTCCGCCAAGTTTACAGGCCATAAACATGAAGAAAAAGAATAAGGTCATTTGAGATAAATCAGAAAAGTGACTTTTATGGTGAATAGGATCCAACTGGATCTGTTGCTTGTGCGGCTTCTCAAAATGAAAGGGCTAAAAAATCCTGGCATACCTTGGAGGTGGAGGAGCTTTTCTAGCATCAACGTCTGGGCGTTCCACAGATTTCTGCTTGAAGAACTCTCTGGCATTTGATGCTTTAGAAGTAGTAGCCAGCTTTGCAGCTTCCTTGAAAGAGTTAAAAAGCAAAGATTTATTATTGTTGTTTATTTTCCAACCTAGCGGAGATTTATTATTGCTGTTTATTTCCCAACCTAGCGGAGATTTATTATTGCTGTTTATTTTCCAACCTAGCGGAGATTTATTATTGCTGTTTATTTCCCAACCTAGCGGAGATTTATTATTGCTGTTTATTTCCCAACCTAGCGGAGATTTATTATTGCTGTTTATTTTCCAACCTAGCGGAGATTTATTATTGCTGTTTATTTTCCAACCTAGCGGAGATTTATTATTGCTGTTTATTTTCCAACCTAGCGGAGATTTATTATTGCTGTTTATTTTCCAACCTAGCGGAGATTTATTATTGCTGTTTATTTTCCAACCTAGCGGAGATTTATTATTGCTGTTTATTTTCCAACCTAGCGGAGATTTATTATTGCTGTTTATTTTCCAACCTAGCGGAGATTTATTATTGCTGTTTATTTTCCAACCTAGCGGAGATTTATTATTGCTGTTTATTTTCCAACCTAGCGGAGATTTATTATTGCTGTTTATTTTCCAACCTAGCGGAGATTTATTATTGCTGTTTATTTTCCAACCTAGCAGAGATTTATTATTGCTGTTTATTTTCCAACCTAGCGGAGATTTATTATTGCTGTTTATTTTCCAACCTAGCGGAGATTTATTATTGCTGTTTATTTTCCAAACCTAGCGGAGATTTATTATTGCTGTTTATTTTCCAACCTAGCGGAGATTTATTATTGCTGTTTATTTTCCAACCTAGCGGAGATTTATTATTGCTGTTTATTTTCCAACCTAGCGGAGATTTATTATTGCTGTTTATTTTCCAACCTAGCGGAGATTTATTATTGCTGTTTATTTTCCAACCTAGCGGAGATTTATTATTGCTGTTTATTTTCCAACCTAGCAGAGATTTATTATTGCTGTTTATTTTCCAACCTAGCAGAGGAGATTTATTATTGCTGTTTATTTTCCAACCTAGCGGAGATTTATTATTGCTGTTTATTTTCCAACCTAGCGGAGATTTATTATTGTTGTTTATTTTCCAACCTAGCGGAGATTTATTATTGTTGTTTATTTTCCAACCTAGCGGAGATTTATTATTGCTGTTTATTTTCCAACCTAGCGGAGATTTATTATTGCTGTTTATTTTCCAACCTAGCGGAGATTTATTATTGCTGTTTATTTTCCAACCTAGCGGAGATTTATTATTGCTGTTTATTTTCCAACCTAGCGGAGATTTATTATTGCTGTTTATTTTCCAACCTAGCAGCTACCTTTTAAAGATATTATTATGATAAGTAATTTACGAGATTTGCACACTGGAAAAAAGTAAACAGTGTGTCTTGGAAACTGAAAAACTCAAAGTACAGCATTCACCACCGTCTCAAAGTAGACCTAGTGTACCCAAAAATATCTTCCTTCTATAGCTTCAAGGTAGGGTATCCAAAAATTCCTTGTGTCTATACCTTTAATCCGGTGCATCAAAGCTTCTTTTTTTATATATAAACCTCCAATCCGGTGCACCCGAAGCTTTCTTAATTCTGTATCTTTAATGTAGAATGCCCAAATTATTATTCCTCCATACCTTGAATACAATATTCCTATGTGGGTTCTGGGGCCTCATTGTGAGGTAAAAACAGAACAGACCCACTGCCTCCCTACTCCTAAGAGTTGACTAATTAGGAGTTTCCTTCACACTCAATGCAGAGTGCATCTTGCATCTGTCTGAGGGGCAAGGAACCAAGTCTGCACACAAATGATCCAGATCTGTAAAACGGATGTGCATGCCCAGGAAATCTTTAAAAATAAAACTTTTTTGATGGATTTATGTGTGGCAAAATATTTAATATTAAATAAAAACATAATTTCACCTTTGAGGTTGATAGCTGCTCGCACAGATAGACTGTAGAGGAGGAGGAGAAAGACTACTCCCTCAAAAGAGAGTCGCATTCCATAATAACATTGGGCAACTGTGTATGTATTTCTGGTATTTCTATCTTGTTTCTAACCTGGTAACTGGTTTTATTGCTGGCTCAGTGGCTAACAATAGTTTTTCTGCTCCCAACACTGGAGACCTTTGTTTCATTAACACAGTCACATCAGTCATCTCTAGCAAAAATGTGTGCTTTAAGATACTTCAAATGGCAGATTTAGCAATATCATACTGCTTGTCTGACTTCTCCCCCCCCCCCCCCATAATGTTTGCAATCAGCTTCGATCATCATCATCATCTCGTAACACTACATGTCGTTGGGTCACCAGTTTCTGTTGACTGTCTGATCAGCTCTCTCCACCTTTGGCGGTCAGTTGCGATGGACTTCATGGTTGCATGCCTAAGGCTTGTCCAGTCAGACAGGTTCTGTAACCAGGTCTTTCTTAGTCTGAATCTTCTCCTCTTTTCCTCTACTGAGCCCTGCAGTATTGTTTTTGAGAGGCCGTTAGATCTTTTTACATGAGCATACCATTGCATTTTTCGTCTTTTCACTGTAGTTAAAAAAGGTTCATAGTTGCCAATGTGCTGTATAATTTTATGGCGAACCTCTTCGTTTGTAATGTAGTCTCTGTATGATATGCCAAGAATTTTTCTGAAACATCGCATTTCTACATCCAGCTTCGATACACTTTTGAAAATAAATAATGCAAGCTGAACACAGTCATCTGCAAATATATAGGTATAAGGTACTTACAGCTTGTCGATCTTTTCTCATCTGATCACTGCGATGTCCACGTTCGTCTTCATCAATACTGCTTTCTTTCTGAATTTGCTCCTACAACAAATGGTATTTTGTAAAATTTATAAAGTGTCTCAATATTAACTACACTTTTTAAAATCGCTTTCTGATTATTTATTTTGATACATTTTGCTGTTTTAACTGTAAAACTGCCTGTATATCTATAACCAATAACTCTGTACTCAAAGCACAACTGTCATGTATTCAGTTAACCCCTACAAAGATGAAATGCACGATGCCCCAATTTAAGCAAACCCTTAATTACATTCCTTTTATGATGTGTTTGTAGTCAGATTATTCTTTTCTTTTTCTTCTACCAAAACAGGGCCCCAGAACTCACACAGCGACTATGATATCTTCATTTAATGCTTTCCTCTCACTATACTGAGAAATATATAAACTGTAACTACAATTATAATGTAAGTAGTACAGCAATCGGTAACAAATTAGAATGTGTTTCTGTACAATCATCTACCTAATTTGTATAAATGCACATATTTCTAAAACACTTGCACAATGTCTTGAATATGCACATGTACCGCTAGATATGTTTGGTGTTAAAATCACCCTCTTCTGGTGTTTTAGCTACCTACAGGGATGTCAACCATCTCATGCAAAGCCCTGCTAAGATATGCTATTTTTCCAATGTCTTTCCCATGCTACTCATCTCTGTCATAGCTGAAGTAATTAATCACAGCACAAATGATGATCAGAAGGCTCAAAGAAGGAAAAGGAAGAGATCTGCACAGGTTCTGGCAATTACAATTCCAACTTTACAGCACACTGGTCACCTGAAATAGTTGATCGATTCTTGTGGGGGGGGGGGAGGGGGGGGGAAACACGGAGAATGTCTATCACTCTTATTTGTAAAACAAATAACACAGATGGTAGTCTCAGTAAAACCAATAGCACACACATGCAGCTGTCAAATGTGCCAACACAAGACATGCAGTTCATCACTGATGGAGGCAGCAGTTGCAACATATTAGTAGTTGCACACACAACTGATCATATAAGGCACCACCAGCTCTCTGGCAACAGGCTACTTGTCAGTTTCAGAATCAGCAGTTCAAAACAAAAACCATGTTGGGCACAGCATAAAAGCACTCCACATGAAAAATGCAGCTCAGTGTCATGCAATGCACTCAACTCAGCTGGGCGATGGAACTATATCCTTTCTGTCTACACATGGAGGAAAATGCAACGGCTAACAACTGTCAGAAGCAAAAACTTGCCATGACTAAAATCAGTAAACCCTCCTATCCATCATATTGACAGAGAGCACAAATACAACCTCTATCAGTGTATCTGTATGTGTCTTTTCCTCCACCACTGTGGAGCTTTTTAGTCATAGACTGTTGTGTGTATAGTTAAATTTTGCTATCAGCGTGACTGTTGTAACTTTATTTACGTCATCTCCTTTGATGTTTGGGAGCTGCAGTAGTGTAGGGGCCTGCAGGTCGGAAGGTCGTAGGTTTGAGTCCTGACAGTGATAGATATTTTCAAAAATGACCTTGGCTCCTAGGTCGACCCAGCCTTAAATGGATACCAGTTACAGTCCTGGAAACTAATGGTGACCGGCATGATGCTGACCATATGGCCCATAAGTGCCAATTGGTCCATAAAGTTTAGGTCTAGCCCTATATGCCCAATACACCTGAAGTTGTAAAACAAAAAATATCCTCTACTTTTACTTTCTGATGTTCACCTGCACCTTGTTTTTCGGGTGCCACTGTGTGTAATTAGATCCACATTCGTTCTGCCTGTATTCTGTTTTCTGGTTTACAGTTGTATCTGTGTGCATCTTTTCCTTTTCCTCCGCTGGGGTTTCAAATCAAAGTTTGTTTTCTGTTTAGTTACTTTCTAATATCAGCTCAACTGAAGTCACTCTTTTCAGGGCTGTTTGAGTAGCTGTGGTCTCCTTTTTATTTTTTTAATAAGCTTTTATTAAGTTTGGTTTTGTCTGACTGTTTGTCTGGTAGCATTTTTGCATTCAATTGTTATACTTTTTCCTGGCAAGCTATCGGGTTGACATTTTGCAAACACATGCTTTGTGGATAACAATGTAATGTAATAAAAAATGTTATCAACATTTGGGGGGGGGGGGAATTATTTTTTGTTTGTTTTTTAACCACTGTCTAGGTTCCCAGTACTTATGATAGTGTTGTTAGTCGTAAGTCCAAGTTCCAACTTTACTGCAGGTGGGTTGTCCTGTAACTGCTCTGTTCCTGTGCTGCAAAAATCCCACAAAATTTTCTTTGCTGTTCTGTTTGAAACTAGTGAAAAACATGTCTGCTCCAGCAAAATCGTGAAGCTCGCACACAAAAAGTACCTGCATGAGATGGCCAATACCAACATTCCCACACCAGAACAGCAACTCATTGTTGATGCAATGTGTTGTCCAGAGCCTGTATTTGAATTCTAGGTAATGTCTTTTTTAGTTTGGTCACATTTGTTTTTGTTGTAAATATTCTTGTGGCTTCATTTGCTAATGCGGATTTTAATTGATTTTGTGACTTATGGACTGTGATACAAGAGTATCACAATGGAAGACACTGGAGCCTCATCATAAATTATTCCTTAATCAGCAGAGAATGTACAAATCAACTGCAGCCAATCTCCACTGCACAGACAGCACAATCTTTTTTTTTTAAAGACTGGTCAGAAATTCAGTTATATCTATCCCGGGTAGTTAGCACACTTTGGATATTTTCTCAAGGATCATGCAGGTGTGTTGAGAAATGAGCAGGCAGATAGACTGGCTGGTTCTGCACCACTTGATGGTGAACTGATGTACAACAAGCTAGATGTTGCAATGGTCTATTGGGAGCAAGTGAACAGTGCAGAGTCTCATACAGGTCATCGTGGTCTGAGGAGAATGGTGCTGTGGGGGGAGTGACCAAGGGATCTAGCTGACACTTGACACTTCAGGAAAAGGCAAGATGGATTGGCAATCAGACTGTCACTGGTGCCATCAGAATGGGAACTCTGCGCTTGCTGCTGACGATGGTGACAAAACTCTTCATGAAACATCCAACTGCTGTGATGTTGATTCATTCATTCAGTTGTATTTGTGTGCAGAAAACATAAAACCATATCTCCAAAAAGACAACCCCTCCAAAAGGTTTCTGAAACATCTTTACTCACAATGAAGAAATGGAGTCTTCTTATTACCGTTCACTGGCTGTAAACTCCAGAGGAAAGTTCTAGCTGTTATTTAGTTCCGCACTTTGGTCTAGTTCCAGAACCTCAGTGTTGTATTTTACAGATACGGCTTATCTGTGTGCAGATTGTTGGTTTCTTGCCTCTCAGACAGATACACTTCAACCAAAAGAAACAGAGATGCTATCCATGTTCGTCAAGCCTTCGATAGGGAACCTGTTCCCGTAAACAGATGTAGACAGGTGCAGACCCGCATGAGCCCTAGTCCTAGCACACTACCGTGTGTTGTTCATCATCTCTGCATCCTGTATGCAGTCTGAGACTGCACCCCCGACCTTAAAGAATGTGGCAAACAACAGCTTCACCGCAGAAATCTTCTCAGTTTATTCCACATCTCGTCTTGGAAGGCAAGTTTTTGTTTAATGGCAAGTCTCAGTTACTGCCAAAACTGCCCGTATTTACCACCTTTGCAGTGTAGGCAGGGGTCGTTTCAAGCCTGAGGATTTAGGCTCGCCTGGCTAGCGCTGTCAGCACGGACTGTGCAGTTTAGGATTTTATTTTTGTCTCCGACAGAGAAAAAAAATCAGCTGAGAAGTGTCAGTTATGAAAAGAGAATTGGTCTTTTTGAATGTAGACAACAAACAGTAGGCACGCTTCTAGAGGTAATCTCTAACATCTGATGACCTAGAATACAATATATATATATATATTTATATATATATATACCACAGTACCAAATTACACATGTATATAAAGGAAAGCAATGTCACCAAGGATAAGGTTACAACAGTACAAAATGTGACATGTAAACAAGGGGAAACATTATACACTGTATATTAGAAAAAGGGCATATTATGGTAGAAAAGGAAAGTGTGGGGTTGGAGGTGTGGGTGTGATGAATGAAATCAGCAAATTCAAAATTTCAATAATTATATTTCTTTAAAAACATATTCTGATTATATCAATTTCTATGAAATATTTACTTATATTTCTTTATGACACAGACTATAGTGCCATATACTTATCTAAGATACACAACCTTTGTGAATGTTACATTTAAACTTATGTAAATTAATGCAGCATGCTTTATCAATTTGCAAAGGAATAACTTTTTCTTCTTCACGCTCTCTGGATGTAAACTCTAGCGAAAAGTTCTGATTGTTCATCCATCTCCAGACTTTATTCGTGTTCCAGAACCTGAGTGTTGTGTGCACATCCATTTTACAGATCTGATTTATTTGTATGCAGACTATTGGTTCCCAGCCTTTCAGGCAGATGTATTCTAATTTCGAAGGATGCCCCCAATTATTCGACTCCTACAACATGCTTGTTGGGCAGGTAGTGGGTCCATTGTTATTTTCCAAACTATGAGGCCCCCAGCGCGCTCACATGTGGAATCTTAATAACAAATACTTTATAAAAACAATGTACAATCTGTGAAGTCAATCAAAGTGAAAAGAAGCTTTTTATTTCTTTCTTCTTCTTCTTTATGTTCACTAGCTGCAAACTCCAGCAAAAAGTTTTAGTTGTTCCTCCACTTCTAGACTTTAGTCTTGTTCTGGAATCAAAGTTTTGCATGCACATCCATTTTATAGATCTGATTTATTTGTATAGAGACTAGGTAGGTAAGTTGTACCCCCCCCCCCCCCTCCCCAGGACAGCACACAAGCGATAAACACCCAGTGGTACAAAGTGGTCCCGGAAACCCTGTCAGCCGGTAGGCCATATCTAGGGCCAGGCTATATTTGGGCCCCTGGTAAAAGTCAGAGTCGGGCTTCAAAATAACGAAAAGTTGTTTCCCACACAGGGATGGGATAAGCTAATATATGGAGACTGTTGGTTCCTCGTATCTTAAGCAGATGCACTCCAACCTCAAAGGAAACATTTGTAATTATTTGCTGACAAGCATGTTAGAGACAGTGGGCCTATTCAACCACCCTTCCCCCTCTCCAGGAACCCACAAGGTCAGCTTTTTCTTTCAAATTTACTGTTTTGGTGTTAGTATGCAGTACAATCAAAACAAAATCAGAAAACATTACAGTATGCACACACAGTTAAGTTCAACTATTTGACGACACTAAATTCTAGCAATGAACAGATCTTACCCATCTCTGTTTCTCAGCTGTCCTGGGATCATCATCTGCTTTCTTTTCTGCCTGCCTCAGCTTACTCACTTCTTTTGAGTGTTCAGAAATCTTCTTTTCTCGTTCTTTTGTTTCTCGTACCTATGCATATTGTTATTGCAGATATAACGAACAGTATATGGTTATACAATCTCTTCTTCTCGTTTTTTCCCCGAACAATGTAAACTAACTTTTTAATTTACCGCGAATAGATGTATAGCAACTCGACAATGTGGTTTCTGCATTTCAGCAAAAAAAAAAAAAGGATTCATTTTGTGCTTCCTTATTTTTTTGATTTACCTCTATAGTAATGTACCTGACGAGATACAGCAAAATATGAAAGGCAATAAATTGTGCAATGTATTGTTTGTGTCTGTATTATTTACAATTACACCAGGAAAACATTGTTTTGAATTTAAACTAAATTAAGGGAACCAGTTCTAAAGAATCTTCTAAATATCAGTTTTAAAAGTTTCTCATGGAGTTACAGTAACTGTCAATATTATTATTTTTTATTTTCTGTTTATGAAATCACACAGCAAAAAACACTACATTATGCTAATGAATTAGAGAATATTCTTTAAGACTGAATTCTCTTACATGAAGAAAATAAAAAAAAAATACAGAGAAAACATAACATTTTGCAGATCGATAACTGATCTTGGCCAACGAGGGAAAGGAAATTGGTAATCAAGAGGGTTCCCATTGTTGGCACTAGGGCAGAGTCACCGGAGTACAATTTGACAATTTTCTCTTAATTGCATTTTCAGAGCTTTTGTTGCAACCACACAATTTTAATCTGATCTCAATGTTCAAACATGATTTTCTCAAAACAAGGATTTAGTACTTGGGTGACTGACACAGTGTCAATAATATTAGCCTGTGGGTGCCCTATGCATGACCTAACAAAAGTTAGAGAGGAATTGCATGATGACCGTGAACTTTATCAGGGTGATGAATATTATTTTTTTGACTGACTCAGCTACCTCCACAATAAAGTATGCCTGACAAAGTAATTACCTCTAGAAAATGTAAGATTGTGTATGTGAGTGAATGTATGTGAATGTATGAATAAAAGCCTACTCTCATTCATCCATCCCTTTTCTAATCATCACATCTCTCTTAATACTCAAACATCTTTCCTTCTTACCTCTTCATACCTTCTCTCATTCATCTATCCCTTTTCTAATCTCCACATTTCTTTAAGCATTTGAACATGTTTTCTCTTACCACTTCATATCTACTTTCATCCATCCATCGCCTTTCTAATCTCCACCTCTCTCTCAGTTCTTTTCATCTTTCCTATATCTTTTTTCATCTCTCTCACTCAGGTAATAAATGAAGTCATAAAGGCATCACTTTAGGTCTGGAGTAGCATAGGGTAAATAAGAGTGTTATATTTAAGAGCTATTTCAAATTCAACCTCCAACTGGTGGTTACAAATAAAGTGATCACTACTGTGGCACCGCACAATGCCTACACTGATATTTATTTTCTTATACGGCCGACAGTAAACTTACAACTTCAAATGTTCAGTTGCTAATGACTAGTTGCCAAGTAAACTCAGCCCTTGTCATTGCTACTCATATATAATTCACTTTCTGCAAGCAACAGGACACAGCAACACCAAGATTCATTGTTGACTGTGTCATGTTTGTAGCGATAACGCATGATTTTTCTGTGGGGAGCTGGTACCAGAAATTCAAGCACAGGAGGAAGACAAGGTCAACACTCAACTGCGGCAAATGAAACTGTTTGAACTGTCAACTCTGTCACGTGTGAAAAGTGATGAATTATGATTTTGCTTTCTGCTGAATGTCCTCTAATTCTTCTTCAGTGTTCACCTTTAAAATGGATTTCACACGCTGTGTTGTTTGATTACAGCTAGGCTGCGATATCCACGCCTTTCAAACCAAACCATCCAAATTCAACAGAAAAAAAACTAATTAATTGCCCTCTACGGCAAACTTGTTTTTTGGGGATCACAATGGGTCTATACTTTTTTTTCCATAAATGGGGCCCAGTATCAACATAAGGGTCCCTAATTCAAGACCTGGCTTTTAACAAATTACCATTGAGAGATTGGGTTACAGCAAATTCTGTGCACTGTAGTACCAAAACAAATTAGTGTTTACAAAGCCCAAGTGTTGGTTCAGTTGTGATGGGGTGGGGTGGGGGGAGGGGGTGTAAGGGTGGGTGTGTGTGTGTCTAGCAGGAAGAGGGCAGCACATTTCTGGAATGATAAAATACCTTAGAATTTTAGCGATAATGTAGGAAAATAACAGATATAAACATCAAAACTGTGTAATAGTCTTCTTCTTCTTCACATTCATCAACTGTAAACTCTGGCAGAAAGTTCCAGTTGTTCATCCACTTTTGGACTGCAGTCCTGTTCCAGAACCTGAGTATTGCATGTGCATCCATTTTACAGATCTGACTCATTTGTATGCAGACTGCTGGTTCCTTGCCTTTCAGGCAGATGCACTCCGACTTTGAAGAAAGCTCCCAATCAGCCAACTCTTACGTCACGCTTTTGGGTAAGCAGTGGGTCTATCCGCGTAATAGTATTTTTGCCTCTCTGATTAATGCTACCAGCTACTCAATGGTTCTGTTCTCGCCTGTGTAAAATATTCAATGGCCAGACCGGTAAAAGAGAAAAGAACAACAAACATACAAGGTAAATGAGAGGATTCTACTGGGTTAGAATGGGTAGACAGTCAAAATATAAAAAGAATGAAAACATTTTTCTTCAGATGGAAAAGGAAATAAATATGTTTTTACTGAAATAATGAAAATTTTTCAGCAAATTTTCAGGTAGGGGAATGGGTTACGCTTGATTTTATTAATGAAATCAAGTACCTCTCTCTCTTTCCTCTCCACCTCAGCTTGCTTCCTCTCCTCTTCAAGTCTTATTTTCTCAGCATTCTGTCTTGCAATTTCATCTTGCTGTGAAAAAACAGACAGAAATGACATTTTACCCCGCCCTTTCTATCAAGTTTATCTCCTAGTGTACTGGGCATATAGGTCTAGACTTATATTTTATAGACCAATCAGCAGTTAGTGGGTGATGTGGTTAACATCATGATAGCCACCTTCACGTCCCACTCATGGCTGGGTCGACCTGGAAACCAAGGTCATTTTTTCCAGTTCTGTTCGGATCTGCACAGGTGCATCTAGCCGGCTCTCTTATCTTTCTGTAGCAGGCAATGAAAAATAAACTGTTAACTATATTGTCCTGCAAGTTCATTTTTCTGTACAGACAGAAATGATATTTTAATTCCTCAAGCTTATCTTTCTGTACAGAAGCCCACAAAATTGACACCCATAACTCCTTTCTACCATTCATTCACACTGCCTTCGTTCTGAGGTGTGCAGTTTCTTTAAAAAAGTTTTTAAAAATGACTCTTTTTCCTCCTTGAGTGATGGGCATATGGCGTTCAAATCAATCAATCAGATGTCATCCCCACAATGAATTTCAGCTGCAGTGGATCCCCAACACTCTCTGTCTCTTGTCTTGGTGTTGGCACAATGTTTCAACAGACAGTACTCCTCGCTTGAGTTCCGGCACTCATTCTGAGGGGAACAAGAATAGACTCACTGCCCCCTAACATTGGATCGTTGGCACCTTTCCGCATTTCCAGATGATAGTGATATATTGCGCTATGAGGAGGCATGAGACTCACAGCCTATATAACGATGGCGAGCCCATGTCAAGAAAAGTCTTAAAAACAAACATGTTTGTAAAAGGCAACTAATTAGGGGAGTTTCCTTCAGTCTGAATGAGTATGTATGAAAGGCGGGGAATCAACAGTCTCCATACAAATAAGCCAGTTCTGTAGAATGGATGCAGATGCAAAAGTCAAGATCTGGAACAAGACTAAAGTGCAGAAGTGGATGATATCTAGAACTTTCCACTGGAGTTTATTGACAGTGAACATTAAGAAGAAGAGCAGATGATACATCACTTGATAGGAGATGTGATAAACATTATGTTAGCTGCTCCTGATTACATTATAGGCTGTGAAAACCTAAACAACAATGATCAATGAAAGTTCCTGCCAGTCCTCAGAATGCATTACCTGGGTGGTAGGATATACTAACGGAGTGTAATGGAGGTCTGTGTGGTGAAGTGGTCAAGCCATTTGCCTTGCGCTATGGAGGTGGAGGGTTCATTTCACGGTTACGTCACTGGGCTTAAGAGTGTAATTTTCACGGACACCCGGGGGTCATTTGCAGAGCTACAGGCTTTGTGTGATACTCATGAACGCTGCCACAATAAAGGATAAAACCCGAAGGGATGAAGTCAATCCTCTCAACTTTAAACTTTAACTGAAGCAGGAGTCAGCAAACTATGGCACACATGAAGACAGTCTACTTGTTTGTGTGTGTGGGTGCATCATGAGGAGGGGAAAACTGCAAGATGCCACGACAATGTAAACTTGAAGAAGACGAGAGGCAGAAAGTGATGAAAAGAGATGTTGGACGATTCAAAAATAATCAAGACAGAAGGTCTTCAGCAGATATGATGAGACAGAATTTTAAAATTAACCTTTTTTCCCAGAAAAGCCGCAAAACCGACGATTGGCTGAGCTAAATTCCCTGTAAAAGTCACTTTTCTGACTTTCTAGTGACCTATTTACGAGATGCACAACTGCTTCTACTGGCTGATTTCACGCCTGCACAAACGTTTAGGAGGTCATGACATGATAGCATTAACTAAAAATAGCACTCAGTGGGGTTTTCCTTTTAGGCAAATAACTTATCTAAAGCCAAGCTGACATCAAATTTTCTCATAGCCTTAATGATAAGAGTTTATGGCAGGAGTCACTCGATGCACTGGGGGGTTTTTTCAGGCACGGGAAAATGTATTCCATTTAATGCCTGACCCTGTTTATGTTTACAGATTACTCCCTTCATATATCTTTACATATTTCAACAACAACACAATTTTAAAATGCAGGTCAATAAATTTGTAATGGATTTTCTAGTCACTTGTGTAAAATGTGTTTATTTAGGATTTACTTTTTTTTTAAATTTTTATGGAATTCCAACAGGGTCATGATCCCTTTTCTGTTTAGCATGTTGTGGCAAACGGGTTAACCCTGTTACCCAGAGAAAGCCGTTTTTCTGGCTTTTAAGGGATTTTGCTGACATGAAGACTTTGGGCCATGGCCACTAGGTCTATTTAACAGTTTTAGTAATGGTTGCAACTGCAAAGTGTGTAGACATGGTGGGTATGATAATATTTACAAAAGAAAAAAAATGAGATTATTAACTGTGATGTAATCGTGACATCATAATAATCACACTGCTCCACATGGCTGTCTCAACAAAACCCATGTTTTCATGATCAAAGGAAAGAAATCAGCTAGTTCTCTGCTCCATTTGTAATTAGTGGTTATTCCCCTTCACACAAAAAAAAATTAACTTTGCTGGAAATAGTAATAATAAGTTAATTTTTTTCAATCAATTTTTGTTAGCGATCTGATAGTTGCAAAGATGCTGTGACCTTCATGCTTGACTGTATGGGGTTCTGTCCCCCTGTAATTTTATAAACACTAACAAAGACTATTTTTTTTCTGCTGCTGCTTCTCTTTTTTCTAGTAGTTTTTTCTTCTTTCTTCAGAAAACTATGACAAAATTTGAGAAAGGTGATTTTTTAAAGATTCTTCCTGGGAACTCCAGTAAAGAAGTGAGTAAGTAAGTAAACTTTAAATTCGTTTCACGCACATTTTGATCTTCACTGATAGAAACAAGAAAAACTAACCTCAGTTTTGGCCCAGAACTGATCTCTGGCACTCAGGTTAATCTCTTTGGTTGGAATGATTCTGTGGTAATCTGTGCCCTGAAATACCATGCAAAGATAATAGCACTAAAGCAATGATGCCTTTGTGAAAACTCCACACTTGTAGCAATTGTTGAGAGCAGTCACTTTAATGCCTTAAGACAGTGTTTCTCAAACTGTTCCTAGTTGTGGCACCTTTTTTTTTTTCAAATAAAATTGTTCCATGGCCCCCTTACCTAAGTAAAAGTATGGCTATTCATATGTAAGTGATAAAAAAACAAAACTTATGTATCTTTGAATATTTCACGGTGCCCCCGTGAAGAAGTCGTGGCTTCTCTGGGTGCCGTGGCACACAGCTTGAGGATCACTGCCTTAAGATATTTAAATATATCCCTTTTTGAAGACACCTTTTGTCCCCAAAAATTGAATAATTTTACATAAACATAGGTAGTGGATTCGATGTCTGGTCATCTCAAAGGACCCTTTTCCTACCTTAGGCACATCAGGCTTTTAGTGTTAGACCATTCTGCATTCGATGGAGCGATGTGGTCAACATCATGCCGAACCACCTTTCTAACCCCCAATGAAGTACAGGCTCCCAACCAACTCAAACCAAGTCGTTCTATCCTTCGCTATGGCATGCAGCTCTCCAATTCTTTTTAACTTCCCTCTCTGTCTCCCTTCTCAATTTATTTTGTCTTCATTTATTTCTACGACTTTGTGGGTTCCAGTGTTTTATCAACGTGTGTTCTATCCAATGCCAGCATCTTTTTTTTTTCACCTCTAGGTCTCCGGTAACTTGTTTAGTTTTCTCCCAAAGCTTTACATTAGTGATTCTATCTATCTATCTATTGTCTTCTTCACTTTTACCGGGTTGCAGCCCAGTGTCGTGGTTTAAAATATTTGTTTTGTGCTTCTCGTGTGATTTGAGTGACAGTTTTCTGGATCTTCTGGCCGTATTCAGCTACTCCATCTATCCATTTTTTCCTGGATCTTTCTCTGGCCTTTCTTCCTGATGTTCTACTGTAAAAGGCTTTATAGGCAATCTGATCCGGTTGCATTCTTACTAAATGGCCAAACCACTTCATTCTCTGTCTTTCAATATGTTTCATGCATTGATTCTATCATACCATTTAATTCTTGCTATTCTGCACAGGCGGCAGTTAATGAATGTCTGTAGTTTATTAGTAATTGCCTTAGTCATTCTCCATGGACATACCTGGGGGACCATTTTAGACTGGGTCAATGCAGGAGCCAAGCTGTTTCGAAAACAATTACTTTGTAGCAGATTTAATCCTTAGACCTTCAGGCCAGCAGGTATCTAACCACTACACTATCACAGCTCCCATACATCTCATAAAAGATTGAGAAATATGAGCTTCACTGGATTAGCAGTCAAGACTACACTGTTTTCAGTTCTCGCACTTGTACAGTTCTAAGACCTTATACTATCTGGTCTCATTATCACAAACCAGTGCCTACTTTAATGAATCAGTGATTTGTCTTCAGCTAATCCTATTACATATTTTTAAATCCAAACTTCACAAGCATCCACTCACTGTTAGCTTCAGCATTCCAACAGTCAAACTTCCCAAGTTTTGGTTGAGATTTCCCTCTACAAATTTTTCAATTATATATTTTTATAACTTTTCTTCTCTACTCTCTACATCCTCTTCTACTGCTTTGAGTGTTGAGGGAGATATAAGGTCCTGCTTCGTGCTCTTCTGGCTGCTTCCACCATAGAAATTTCTTGGTGCTTCAAGTTTTTTTTTAAAGTGACATTTTTTCTCACTAGTTTTTAAATGGGACAGTAAAAGACATTTGGAGTGATCTCCATTGCTACAGGAACAAAGCAGTCATCGGGGTGACCCGTCAGCAGTGATGTCAGAACCTTGACTAACTTGCATTCTTGCTTCTTGTAAAAGAAAAAGATAATTTGATCTCGTTCAGACTTTTTCAGCTATGTAGCTGATGCCTATAGTTGCGATCTTTATTGAGTAAGGTTTGTTCAAATATGGTTTCCTTTGGTTCCATTTTATTGTGTTGTTCTAGACGGTTTGACTGATGTTGCTTCTTCCTTGTATAGGGTTGTTGGTACTTGGTGTTGTTGTATACGGAGGCAAGGGTCTTTTATTTCTTTATTGTGTCACTTTGTTTCGTTCCTGATTGTGTCAGGACACATCTGGATATTGTATTTTGATTCTATCCTATCTTGTCGTCTTGCAATTTCTGTCTTCTGATTGGTTGTTTCTGGCTTCTGTTCATCCGCTCTGTCTTGGTATGATCTGGGTTTCTAGGATCTAATAGTGCTTAGTCATTACAAGGAATTTTCTGTAATTTTGTCTTTCCATCTTTGTTATTGTTTCTCTCCTTTTCATCTTTGTCTGGTCTTCTTTGGTTTTGATGCTTCCTGGTGGAAACCTTCTGTTCATTTCTGTATTGTATCTGTCTTCAAGTTCTTGTTGCTTGCCAGTAGACTCTTTTGATGATGTTTCCTTTGGTTTATCGTCTATTGGCTTTTCGCTGTTGTCTTTGTCAGTTTGTGGTCGCATGGCGCTGCTGTCTTCATGGCTTTCATCCTGCTTTTTCTGCAATTCCTGTAATGCTGCTATTGTTTCTACTTTTATGTCATTGAGTGTCTTTATATTGTAGTCCAATATCTCTCTCATCTCCTTCATCTCTGAAAGTATCTGTCTTGCTTGGTCGTTAACTTCTGGCGTGCTTTTCTCTGAAGTCAACTTATTTGCCTTTAATATCTTGACCTCTTCCAACTTCCTGATCTGGTTTTGCATCCTGGATTTCTCCACTGGAGTGAAGTATTTGGATTCTTTGCATCTTCTTCTGGCTTCTTTGCATGGTATTCTCTCAGTAATTGCTATCTTGAGGATTTCCTGACAATGTTGCAGATAAGGTCATCCAAAATACCTCGCCTCGTGCTGTCCAAAACAGTTGCTGCATAGTCGATTGCTATTTGTTTTTTGATAATTGTTATCTTGCTTTGCTAATGGACACTCATTACAGGAGTGAGAGTCAGCACAATATCTGCAAATCTCTGTTTTGCTGTGGTGTGGCACACTGACTTGGTATGAAATACCTTTTGACATCTAGAACATCGGAGTACCCTTGGGATATATATCTCTGGTTTCTATAGTTTATTATCAAACTTGACGGTATCCGGTATACTCTCACTTTCTGTTGTCACCACTGCCACTGTTGATTTCATATCTTTGGATACGATTCTCTCTGCTCTGATTATATCATCTTCGGGTTTTCTCTCCTCAAGTGTTCTGCGATCTCCTGGTTCGACCATTTGGTGTTCACTCTCTTGACCACCCACTTTCGAATCTCCCTGAAACATCTTGGCTGCAATTCTATTGTAGGCTGCATACCAATGTCTTCAGTCATTCTCTTCGCCTGGTTTGTTTCATTCAGTTAACGATAACACCCTCGTGTCTTTCTGATTCTGCACATGCTTCCTATCCCCAGTGAAGTCTCTAGGTACCTGGTTATTTTGGTTCTCGCCAAGTCCAGGAGTCTGGTTCCACCTTCTTTTATTCGGTAAATCTTTACTCGTGTCTTGATGACCGGACTGTTGGACATTCTTGCGTTGCTTGGATTCTCCTCCTCAGCACATATAAACTTTGTCGATCATACAACCGTCTGATTTCTTAGTTGCAATAGTGTTCTTTGATGTAGTTGGTTCTATTACCAGCATATCTCTTGGTGTGTCATTCTTAGCTGTATTGGGTGTGTGAGTTGACTTCCGGTTACACTGGCCACTATCTTCCCTTTCTATGATGATAGCTTCAGGAAAGTCGACATCATCTTCTTGAAGCGTAAAGATCATGGCGTTTAGCTGCCTTTTTAAATCTTGTAGTAGTAGTTGTTGCTTCTATGAATAATGTGCTTAATACTCACAACACCGCTACGCTGAAAACTCTTGGTCAGGAACCTGCATTGCTGTCTCCACCAAGCTCCCTGCCCTTCCTTGACTAACGTCTCTGAAGTAACTTTGTATGACTGGGTATAATATTTTTCATTTGCTTTAATAATCACTCTGACATAAATTCATCCTGCAACCTGTGATAGATAAATGTGAATTTCAATAGACACTTTAATTCAAATGATTAACAAGTACCCAAAACAAGAACAGACCCCTACTCCGTAACAAGCAAGTCCTAAGAGTTGACTAATTAGGAGTTTCCTTCACACTCAAGGCAGAGTGCATCTGCCTGAGGGGCAAGGAAAAAAGTCTGCACACAAATAATCCAGATCTGTAAAACGGATGTGCATGCCAAACGCAAGTCTCAAACAAGCTACAGTCCACAAGTTGACTCATGGCATACATTTTTTTAATCACCAAAACTTTTTTTTTTTAATATAAATTTTAAAAAAAAATTGTTTGCCCACTTCGAATGCCTTGCAACCAATTATAACATTTGTTCCTTACCACAGGTCCAGAAGGTTCCACAGGTTTCGCCTTTTCCTTGTGAAAATTGTAGTTGGCGCCTGAGGATTTGGCCACCTTGTTGAGAATATCATCTTGATCTATGTCCACTTCACTTCGCGCAGGTATTGTAATATGAATAGTCTACAACATAAAATATACAGTTCAGGTAAGATCTGATGTTTTACTATAAATGGACTATGTTTTAAAGAATATTTTTCAAGATTTCATCTTTAATTAGCTGAATTAAAAACTGATTCAGAATTCATGACAAGTAAATAGTGGAATTTTTACATAGCACAAAATGCTATTAGCTAGTCATATTCTTTGAGGCATATAGCTCTAACAGATAAACCATTATGTTGTTGTTCTACTTTTTGAGATCGCATCATTGATTTATACCAACAGATGAGTTCTTATGATAAAATTAATCCTTTGGGGTGGGGGGGGGGGGGAAGGGGGGGGGGTTGGGGGGGGGGTTGGGGGTTCTCTTTAGTTCAATCCAGTTTTCAAGTATGATATTGAATCATTAGGCCAGTACTTCCTTCTTAACGTACTGCATAAAGGACAGTCTTGCAGGGTATATTTGTGAACTACTCAGAGGAAGCCTGTGCATTTGCTTGTTAACATTTGACATTTCTGATGATGTGCAGAAAAGCTGAAGGCAAGCAAGCAAAGAGGAACACAGCAGTACCAGTGGGAGGGTAGCATTAAGAGATGGACGAACAGCAGTTTGAGAGCGTGTACATCCAAGGCGAAAGAACAGAGCATGCTGGAGATCAACTGCAGCCAACCTTCATTGTGGAGATTGCACCTGACTTACTGACTGACTGACTTGAACAAAGTCAGATACTCAGTTCATTATTTATGAAAACAATTATCTGTTGAAAACCAGGTCAGTCAACAGTCAAATGAAATATGTTTAAAGTGTCAGTTTTTATCTAGTAATTTGGCCTGTTACACTGATCCTTTTGCACTACTTCAAATAAATTGCAGTATAATTAGAATGAATTAATTAATTAATCAATAATTGACATCATGGCACTCAGGACATTTACTAGTATAAGAATTATTATAGTAAAAGATTTAACTGCATTTGGGACATTTACTAGTACAAGGATTATAAAACTTAACTGTTTTCAGGACATTTGCTAGTACGAGAATTATTATATTATAAGATTTAATTGCTCTTGAGACATTTACTAGTACGAGAATTATTATATTATAAGATTTAATTGCTCTTGAGACATTTACTAGTACGAGAATTATTATATTATAAGATTTAATTGCTCTTGAGACATTTACTAGTACGAGAATTATTATAAGATTTAATTGCTCTTGAGACATTTACTAGTACGAGAATTATTATAAGATTTAATTGCTCTTGAGACATTTACTAGTACGAGAATTATTATTTTATAAGATTTAACTGCAATACTAACAGAGTGTAATTTCAGCATAAAGAATTCTCTTACACAAGTTCTGATAAGCATACCTTCAAGAAACCCTGGACATCTTTTAAATGAGATGTGTACTTCAACTTCAGGTTTTCTGGAACACCTTCCCCAGTCTGTGGAATATTTTACACAATAATATCAGTGTGTGCTAAACACAATTTAAAAAATAAAAACACACCAGTGAAATATCAGTCAACGGCAACTGATACTGTAAGAAAAAGTTAAAGTAAAGGCCCCTTTTCCACGCCTTTAGGGCATATACGGCTAGACCTATATTTTATAGACCAATCGGCTCAAGATGGGAGATGTGGTCAGCATCATGCTGGCCACCTCTACTTCCCGGGACTGCACCCGGTACCCAATCAAGACTGGGTCAACCTGGGAGCTACGGTCATTTTTGAAAAAACACCGGATCTGCCGGGGAGCGAGCCCACGACCTTCCGATCCGCAGGCGAGCGTCTAGCTGCTCCACCACGGCGACTACTGATACTATGGTGGAAATTAATTACAGTTTGATCAATATCCTCCTGTTGTGCCATTATAAGTCACACAGGGCTGGCAGTCCAGCCCTCTATCCCATTCTATCCTGTACTGTCTTTTTGATATCATGGATGGAATCCAGTCCTGCATCTTGGGCCTTTCTCACTGTTCATTTTAAGGTTTATCTTGTTTGATGTTCTTGCTTCCTCAATCCATTTGTTTCCCATTTCAGTGCCTGTCTGGTGATTCTCTGCACACTTCTTTTCAGGATTTGCCCTATACAGTGCTAAATTTGTGTGTCTTATAACTGTTTTTCTTCTTCTTCTTTGTTCATCAGCTGTAAGCTCCTACAAAAAGTCCTGGTTGTTTGTCCAGCTTGACTGGCTTTGTGCCAGGGCCTGAGTTTTGCGTGTGCGTCCATTTAACTGGCTTATTTGTGTGCAGTTGGTTGTTCCCTGCCTCACAGGCAAACGCACTCTGACTTCAAAGGAAGTCCTCAATTAGTCTCTTCCTACCACATACTTGTTGGGGAGGCAGTGGGTCTATTCTTGTTTTCCCCCATAATGGGTAACAGGAACCACACATGGATTATAACTAATGCCAATGGTTGTCAAGGCATTACTTTCCTGTTCATGTTGTAACAATAATAATGAATGGATACAAAACTGAAAGTTTAGGTACTGGCCAGTCCATGCTTTTTCTTCTTAAACTAATATTTGAATAGCACAATGGTATCATAATGATGATGATAAACTGACACAAACAAAGCACATACCCAGTGAATGAGCACAAACTTAAACAGCCCTGAGTTTGGATCTCTGACTCTACAGTAGGCATACAGCATTTTACCACTGCTTAGCTCGTCTACTAATTCTTCAATGCCTCCATCTGAAGAACAAATTTAAAACAAAAGTTTTCAAACCTTTATGAGTTCAAAGGAATGCACACTGAGTTATTCTCCATAGAGGACAACTTCCGGCATGGCGGCGCTAGCAACCAAGATTATTTCAAGGCAAACACTTTGCGTAGTGAATCGGTTTTCATCGCTCAAATCAAACCTCTTACCAATTTAAACACATGACGGCAATGTTTTCCACCGCTGCATACTCGAGAATATCAGGTTTCCTTACTTGTTACTTCGTTGGTTACACTGGCTGTGGTAGGTCGGGTTCGCGAATGGAAGAGGAAATAATTACAGACATTTGGAGTTCTATTTTTACAAATATTACCCCTTTCTTTGCGATGACATCTCATCAGGCTACACACACATAGTTATGTCGTACAGGGGCGACACTGTGCTGATGGGCGTTACGTCTCTGGCCCCTTCCCCAGCACGACGGCACCACTGGGGTGACGTTAATAAACTCTCACTAATTAAATATGGTAGACATTTTTGATGAACTCAATCCTCGCCAGAGCTACGGATTTCGTGCGTCCGTACTGAGATCCGATGCAGCAGCATCTACACGCTACAGAAGGAAAAGAGGTCAACATGGTAAAAAACGGCGCAATAGACGTGCTGGTGCACGCAAAAACCAATCTAAATCAGAACGCCTTGGCAAGGGAAATCTCCGCATTCTTTGCTGGAACTGCAGGAGTGTTCGACAGAGAGGCCCAATCTTGGAGAGACTGATATATGATGCTGATGTAATCGCACTTCAGGAGACCCGGCTGAATACAGAAGAAGCTCTGAATGTCTCAGGCTTCCAAACGTACTACAACAGCAAACACCTAGGCCAAGCGATCCTGGTCAGGCGCGGAATAACATCCTCACTTGTAGACACGAGTGCATGGAACAACAACGAAATTCAGGTTCAGGCCGTAAAGGTAGACGGAAGTAAACCTTTCACACTAATCAACATCTATGCCTGTAATGATAAAGTTGACAAAGAAAAGTGGACAATTTTAAGTGACATATGCGAGCAGATAACCACCGACATCATTATGTGTGGGGACTTCAATGCCAAAGGTCGTCTATGGGGCAATCTGACGGTCAATAAACAGGGCGAGGCACTGGAGGAAGCACTAACAGACACGGATTTAATCTGCTTGAATGATGGCAGACCCACCAGAATCCCCGACAGAGAAGGTGATACTGGCAGTGCCTTTGATCTCACGCTGGTCTCTCCCAGTATGAGTGCACTTTGCCAGTGGGACGTACTGGGACATCATGGAAGCGACCACCTTCCATGTTGGATTCTGGTCAAAAAAACAATCTGCACAAGGTATCGAGACCAGCCACTTCTTTCCAGTATGCTGCAAATCAGCCTGATGTAATTGGGCGTCTGCGAGACAGGTCACGCAGAACACCGAGAAAGAAGAAAGCTATCTTTCAACAACCCCCCCCCCCCATGGTGGACTCCTGAAGTCGCAGAAGCCTGGACAGAGAAACGAGGTGCCACCAAAGACTGGGAGAAATGCAGAAAGTCTTCGAATTTTACTGAGGCGCAGAAACAAGACGTTAAACACAAAAAAGACAGACTCACTGAACATTTTAAACAACTCGCAAAGGAGTCTAAGCACACAATGTGGGAACATTTTTGTCAAGAAATAGGTTACGAAAAATCTCTCAGAAAATTCTGGCGGCTCCACCAAAAGATGAACGGAGGCAAACAAACCTCTGTTATGCCCGAGCTAAAGATGGACAACGGGGTGGTGTTAAAATCGGATAAAGACAAAGGGGAGGCTATCCTGCACAGATTTCTCCTGCAGACGGAAAAGAAAGACAGGGAAGATAGGGAGCAGATGAAACAGAATTTACATGATATCCAGATGGCTGAAATCGAGGAAGACGATGATACAGTATACATCTCAACGGACTGCATCAAAGCAACACTGAAGACCTGTCCAGACACAGCTCCAGGTCCTGATGGCATTAGATACAGCGACTTCAAAAGCCTCGATATGACAGATATGGATGAACTATCCACGATTTTTAACAACACCATGAAAACTGGCATTATTCCTGATGACTGGCTCCACAGCTATCTCAGACCAGTTCCTAAGCCAGGAAAAGACCACACGAGAATAAATGGCTATAGGATCATAACACTTCAGAACACGGTAGGAAAACTCATGGAAAAATCGTTGCCAGAACGTTAACCCAAAAATTAGAGTCGGGTGGTCTATTCCCCGCTACACTAGGTGGTTACCGACCAGGAAGAGATACATGGTGCAATGCTGCAGTATTTGCTTACGACACATATGAGGGTTTCCAGGAGGGAATGGAAACTGCTGCAGCCGCTATTGACTTAGAAGATGCGTACAACAGCGTCCCATACAACATGCTCATCAGACTGCTGTTGGATATGCAGATAGAGACAAAGTTGGTCAACTGGATCGCAGCAGCGTTTTTTGAAAGAACAGTGTCGCTTCGATGTGGTAAATGGGCATCCGAACCTCAACAAGTCCTAATGGGTCTGCCACAGGGATCACCACTGTCGCCTGTGCTCTTCAATGTGTACACAGCAGGAGTCACTAGTGCACAACACGTAGGTCTAGGTAGAACAATGTCGTATGCAGATGATATTCTTGTTTACCGTCGAGGTAAAAACAGGCAGGAAAATACAACCACACTACAACACGAACTGGACAGACTTAGTGAGTGGTGCCAGGAATCAAGAGCTCAAGTGAACCCCGTCCAAAGCCTCCTTAACATGGTTCTCTCTAAATACCCACATCGTGAGTACACCAACGCCAGTCGTAAGCATATGTGGTGTGGACATCGAGAGAACGGACACCATGAAATACCTGGGCATGACATTTGACAGATGCTTGTCATACAAATGCCACGTAGATAACGTCATACTTAGAGCCAGAAAAGGTCTGACAGCACTCAAGGTGCTAGCAGCAGCTGATATTGAACAACGCCTACTTTTCCTTCTCTATCAAGGGCTTGTGCTTAGCGTCATCGACTATGGTCTTGGCCTCCTCACTGTCAGCAAAACCCAGCTAGAAAGACTGGACCGAGTACAAAATGAAGCCATGAGACTCATACTCGGCTGCACAAAAGACACCTCCTGCAACGCCATGCGTTATGTCCTGGGTTTGCCGACGATGACTAGCAGATACAAAGTGGCACAAGTCAAGGCTCACATGAGGGTATCGGCAGACGCTAACCACCCATTGCACAAAGCTATATACGACACAAAAGGAACGCATCTCAAAAGAGGCCGCTCTTGGATGGCAAAGGCTGAGAATTTGATCCAGCAGGTATGTGACCTACGCGTTATCAGGCACGGAAAAGAATGGATGAATACACCAGTAGACATGCATGGCATCTCTAAGGTTGTCATCACACTAGGAAGGTACTGTCGGGATCAGATTCCTGCGGCCATAGACACAGAAGTAAGGGAACTGATAGATCAGCATTCAGACCCAGAAGATATCATCATCTACACAGATGGGTCCGTGAAGCGCGGATCAAGGTCAGCATGGGCATACACAGTGCAAAGAAGGGGGAAAACAATACATGAGGACAGCGGCGCTTACCAGACAACCACGTCAAGCATGACCATGGAAATAGCCGCTGCTTCTAGAGCTTTAGCATGGGTATCCGAGCAAACCGCCTCACAAGCAGTAATTGTCTCAGACTCAATGAATATGCTTCAGAAAATAGCAACAGGCAGTATGCGCTCTGAATGGATAGAAAGCATTCGGAAATCGCACTTAACTTCCGTAACCTGGATCTACACACCGGGTCATGCGGGCGTAAAGGGAAATGAGCGAGCGGACCAACTGGCAAGCACAGCACTAATGATTGCGGGAAAAAGCATGGACAGAGCAGATATCGTTAACGCTGTACGTACTGGGCTAGTGGATAATATCAAATCCCTGACACTAACACGATTGCGTGACATGGGAGTTAAGCATGGTGAAGCACGTCTTTGCCGTCTGCGAGGCCGAGAAAGGAGACAATATAACCAGCTTCTCATGGGGACAATTAGTAGAAGTACTTTGGAGTGGCTGCTGCTTCGGAGGACTGCGCACGCATGGGTATGCCTAATGTGCAGTGACGTCGATTGTGATAACAAAACACAAAATAACATTTTGTAGGAAGTCGGCATTCCGAAACCCAAGTTCAAGGTGTCTCCTTCGTGCCAAAGAACTGCATGGCTGTTGGGTGAACAGTCGTTAACGAAGGCAGTCAGGTCGTTGTAGGGGCGACGCCTGCTGGTGGATGTAATGTCCTAAGTCCCTTTCCCAGCTAATAGTGAGGGTACTGCTGGGGTGACCATTTGTTAACCCCTCACATAATGCTTCAAGTCACAGTGGACGCTAGGCACGGCCACTTTTTTTTTTATTTTTTTTATTTTTTTATTTTAAGCCGTGGCAGTTCTGCCAGGCGGTGGCCGTTGCATTTTTGCTCCATTTGTAGACTGGAAGGATATAGTTTCGTCACCCAGCTTCTGAGTTGAGTGCATGGTGTGACACTGTGAGCTACAAGTGTTTTTCGTTGGCACAGGAGCGGAGCAACAATGGGGTGACCCGTTTGCTATGATGCTGAAACTAGGATTACCAGATTACCAGATTCTCCATAGAGGAGAAACTAAACAACAACAAAACTCAAATCATCACAACAGAGATGAGATGTCTCAACTCTGTTGGTACCACAGAACAGTTAAATTAGATATACAAGGTTATTCAAAATAATGAATACACTACCAATAACTGGTCGACCTGCAGAAAACTCAGTTATGCAAGAGAAGCTTCTTCGTGTATGAGATAAGTTCCGTTACTGCTTATATCTTTAGTGAGCAGCAGACGGCGGCCATAATGAATATCTTTTGTGAGTTTGCAAACTTTAGATCTCCCTCTCACTCTTGTATGTATATATTATTAATGCGTAATGTATATTTCAGGAAATACACATAAATAAAAGTGCATCTATCATTCAGAATAACCCTGTAAATTAATGCATTATGCATTTATTAGCACTGAAAGAGTTAAAGGAGCTGCCACAATTACAGGAAGAGATAAAATCAAACACGAAGAAATTATAAGGTGACTAGTACTGAAACCAGAAAAAGTTAAAGGAGCTGTCACAGAAACAAGAAGAGATCAAATCAAACAAGAAGAAATTATAAGGAGACTAGAGAGATTAAAGGGTAACAGCGGCTTCATGGGTATTCTCAGACAGAAGTGTGACCGGTCGCTGGAGGTGAACCCGTGTCAATATCAGTGCCTTTCGGTCAGTGAGACAGAGGAGACGTGTGTGACTTTTGTTCTTAATAATGTGTGTTATTTTATTTTCCTGATAAGCCTGAACTGAAAAGTTGAATTTTTGTATTATTCTGAACACTACAAATGAATTCCAGAGAAATTGGACTAAAAAGCTCAACACAATGGGAAAGAGGAAAACGTGCACAAAACAACACAACGTAACGTTTCGGCCGGGCAGCCTTTTTCAAACATAATGAAATACACAAACGAGAAATGGAGAGTATGTAGATATCTAAGGGGTGACGTGAGCGACGTTTAAAAAAAATGTGATGCGGAAAAAATGAAATAAAATAAAATAAACGATGGCTAAAAAATGAGTGTAGTTATGGCAGACAAACTGGCAAGAACCCAATACTTTATATGACCACCATGTGTTATGTGGCTGATTATATCTCAGTGCTGGTCAGTGCCCATGGCTGTTTATGTAACTTTGTGAGTCTTGTGATAGGAGAATTACTTTTAGTAGTCTATTTAGTATTGGTGTTCACGCTTAGTTATTATAGTGTTGGTGGTATGATGCCGCCTGTGTGCAGCTACCTTGGTATTTTCCTGTAGGGAGCCCAGCAGTCGCCGTGATCGTCGACTAGGGAACCTTTGTGTGTGTGCCTGAAGTATAACCACCACACTAGATACTTTTGCCAGGTATACGGCAGCTTGCCTTGTATCGCACATTACACTTATGTGCTTCCTAACATATCTTCAGTTTATGTTATTGGTAATGTTAGTTTCAGCTCCATAGCAAACGGGTCACACCATAGTTGCTCCGCTCCTGTGCCAACAACAACAAAACACAGAATGTTCATCACAGTCCCTTGTGAAGAGATTGACAGACTGCTGTCTCAGCATATACACTAACATACACACGCATTAAAAGCATACGGTAGCTTTATGATATGTTATTCTATGTTATTACAGTCGATGTCATTGCACACTGAGCGTTCCCTTGCATGATCAGTCCTCAGATGTAGCAGTCATTCCCAAACCTTATTTATGAATTTGTTCACACATACATGCATGCATCAGTGTATATGTCTGGATGTGAGAGTTTATATGTGTACTTGCATTCTTACCTCCAGTCTGTATTGCTTTTAGCACAGGAGTTTGTCCCTCATAGCCAAACAATGCCCTGCACACAAAAACACAAATAGCTTTTAGTTAAATTATCAACAGGTATAACAACAACACACAGTCTAAGATATACACAGTCTAATTAATGCAACAAATTATAAATTTCACATTTCAAGGCACACAAAATGCAACAGATCTCAAATTCACATGTATAATAAAAAATATAAAGCTAAGTCACAACACAAAATAAGTCTGACGAAATTAATCCTGTAAGTAGTTTGTTACATGCTGAGAGTTTTGCAATCTGCACTTCACCAAGAACATCAATGAATCTGCTGCAGTGCTGTTGCCAGATTGTTTAACAATCTTTGAGTACAGTTTCAGATTACAAAACAAAACACAATAATGCAAGAAAATATTACCAGAAATATTTATGCTATGTTTCTATCAATTATTATAATCTAAAAAGATGCCTGAAAAAAATTTAGAGAAATATTTGAGTCGTGTTTTCACAACTGAATTTTCCTATGAAAGTACCGTTTTATGAGATGATAGTGACATTAATGAAACATTACTGACAACAATCTCATTATTTACTCTCAAACTGAAGTAAAAGAGAAGCAAGCATGTCGACATATATATCTGTGTGTGTGTGTGTGCGCATGTGCAAGTGTGTGTGTGTGTGTGTATATATATACTTTGTTTGCACACAGACAGCATCATAAAAAAAAATTGCAAGAGACTAAGTGCGCCAAAAACACTTGTAAAGAAGTTATTTTTTTTTAAAAGTATTTGTTTATTAAACGTTTTTATTTCAAATATATTATTTGCTTGCCATTCATCACATTATAAAGATATATATTTTGAGATCACGCATCTTTCTCATGGCAACTTATGGAAGTGAGTCAAGGCTTTTTACACAATCGTTAAAGAAGAAGAAAATCTGAGCTTTTGAACTGAAATGCTACAGAAAAATTCTTAGAATACCACGGACTAAGAAGAATAAAAACACAGACATCCAATATGATCTCAGCATTGAGAATGTTGAATTAAGAATCAACATCATAGCACTCTGGACACACCCATAAGCACTCTGGACAGCCCCATAAGCACTTTGGACACGCCCATAAGCACTCTTGACACGCCCATAAGCACTCTTGACACGCCCATAAGCACTCTTGACTCGCCCATAAGCACTCTTGACACGCCCATAAGCACTCTTGACACTCCCATAAGCACTCTTGACTCGCCCATAAGCACCCTGGACATGCCCATAAGCACTGGGGACACCCCCATAGGCACTCCATATAGAGAAGATCTGGCTCATAAACAAAAACTGAAAGCTGAGCTATTTTGGTCATGTTAAACATCTTGGTGGCACGGAGAGAACGATTACGGAGGGTAGCTTCCAAAAATGGGCAGACCTCCACACAGGTGGATACAGGATACTGAAGTTGCACAGGCTATGAAAGCACATAGGGCTGGGGTACTGGCTAGAGAAAGAGAGACTGAGGCATTTAATCAAGGTATAGACCCCCTTGGCACACACTCCTTTTAGAACAGTGACTGGGGGTGGAAGGGGCACAAATGGACTCATCCACAGCTTAAGATACACAGGGGGCATATGAATTTTAGAAAGGTTTAACTGGGACATGGCAGAAAAAAGGTTGGGAAACACTGCTCTACAATAATTGTAAGAAGGCTAACACCCCGCCCCCAAAGGTTTGTTGGGGCCGAAGTCTTAGAGCATCCTCTATAATTCTAACCTGGCACAGCATTTGTCTTCCCTGACACAGAGTGAAAAAGTGGAGAAAACTGGAAATTCAAGGAGGCTGAATATGTTTTCACCACGTGACACTTTCAAAGAATGAGTCAGGAATGTTTTTCAACAGCTGTTCGAGTGCTGACATTATTGTCTTCTTTTTTATTTGAATGCAATTAAATACTAAATACATTCCTGCAACTCTATGAAAGTATCTTGTAAACTTTTAGTACACTTTACCAGTTGTATATGTGTTGTTTATCATCATGAGACTGATATTATCCTCCAACACACACACAAGTGTACAATACTCATAAAAGGTGTAGCTTTTTTTTTAAAGATAATGAATATTATTAATAGGGTTCTCCTCTGAACTTCTCTTCCGGCAATATGGCGGCCAAACAAATACCCTAACAGGGCATCAGTCCTGAAAAATGCGGACTTGTCAGACTTCCTGCCGAGAAACAATTGCGGCAAAACTAGGATCCGCTGAATAACGAAACAAATGCTCCAACAGGGTCTCAGCGATATGTTAATTGCGGACCTGTTTCTGTGAATATCCACCCCGCCGCTGTGCACGGCGCGGGCGCTAAACTAGATGGCTTGGCCTCACGAGCAGTGGCTACCGCATCTCCTGCAACTTTCTCCAATTTATTATTTTCTCGTGAGTCCCAGGCATCTAGTTTAGCGCCCCATCCGCGCCGTACGTAGCGGTGCAGGGGATACTGTCGGCGATGAGTTTAATCGAAGAGCCAGTAAAACATCATCATGGCTATGTTCTCAGTTGATATGTTGCAGCTAGCAAAGAACGAGCTAGTGTGCACGCTATACTCAGTACTACAGCGATGACAGCGCCACGAGTATCTGTCAGAAGCCACCTGCTGCGCTGCCAACGACATAGCACCCTGGCAGGACGAACATACCTGCGTGTTGAGCATTAGCCATTGCATCCAGACCAATTTATCGGTCATTACTTGATGCAAATCGACAGGTCTCACATCTACCGCTGCTAAATCCTCAATCGGAAGAACAGTATCGCTAATCTGCGTCGGAGCGTGTCGTATCCCTGCCATGTCGCTTTTATCGTCTTTAATGTTGCGTGTCTCAAAATTGTCAACGATCGCTATCATCGTCTGCTACTATTGTCTGCAGTCGCTATCATCGTCTGCAGTGTTACATTTCTTGAAATTGACAGGTAATCCTAGTATTGCTGCGATTTGTTCGTCACTGGAAGTCGCACATTTTTCATAGGACTTAGGCCCTGTTAGGGTATTTGTTTCATCGGGGTAGAAGTTCGGAGGAGAGCCATTAATAGTAATAATGTACTGATCAAAATAGTAAGCAAATGTGCAGAACATTAGGACCATGATAAAGAACTAACTATTGTTGCATTAAGAGATTTTTCGAGACACAGCAAAGTTATACTAGCACTATGCACTAAAGTCTACTACTACTAATAATAATGTGAACTTGCTATGTGTGCTCTTGTCGACTCGATGACAGTGAGTCTGAGTGACTGGTGACTGAAGTGACTCAGTTCCAGTTATGAAATAATAAACTTTATCCAGGCCAGTGTTTTACTGTTTACTTCTATAATTATAAATTAGTTATATTTTACACCGAATTCTAGTCAAATAATTTTACTTATAGATGCAGGAGTTAGATTTTCATCAAAGAAGACTACCATAAAAACAGTAAAAGTTCCATTTACTGACAATATTAAGTATCAACACGGAAGTGAAAGCAGCCGGGCCTTCTAAGTTCTATTTTTCGAATGACAACCCAACCTTCCCTTGACAAATTTTACATTTAATTACACACAAAACGCTAATTCAGATATAATATACAAATGAAAGTATATAAACAACACAGCCATGCTAATACCAATCAGTGCTATCCTTGTCGTCGATAACTTTCTCGTAGGCTTTAGTCAGCGAGTCTTTATTCTTCCTCAAGTCTATAGCCATGATTACAAGGAGGTGGGGTTCCACTAGCTCTCACTCAAACAGGAAGTCAGTCATTTTACTGTATTTTTTTCGTATTGCCAGATAAGCCGTCACGATTTCGCCAGATTCTCTCCAAGGTAAATGGTAGATGTTGATTGTTGTAAGACGCAGTATATACAAATATTCTTCAGGTGTGGGTTCCGATGCCTTATTTGCTAAAAGCAATTTAGATCTACAGTTAACATTTTTATTTCAGTTTGACTTTGTTGTGATGTCCTGGTACGGACTAACGGAGATTCGCGCCATTTCTTATTGTATTTATTGTCTTTCTAAAAGGATCGTGACTTCGATAAACCAAGGCCCTCTATAATTTATGTTAACCTACTAGAATAAATGCGGGATATAAAACCAAAACTCACCACTGAAACCAAGTGATTCAGACTGTTCAGAAATTACTCGAGGACAGAAAATAGAGAGGATATAGACCTCGTTCTATCAATGATAGATATTATTACTTTTACCAATGGCCATGTCATCCCAAAAAAATGGAAAACATCTTAAGACATCGCAAATATAATAGTAACTGGAAGAAAACATACCCACGGTTCAAAAGATCTTCAGACGGATTAGAGGCAGCATATTGTAAACTGTGTCAGTGCACTGTTGCACCAAGAATTAGTAGCATATCAAATCATGAAAAATCCTAAAAACACGGGATGAAGACTGTAAAAAAGCCAGTCACAGCTTATTACAACAATTACTCCTATCCTAGGCAAAGTAATGATAAATTTAAAGGTAGCAGAGTTACAACTTGCTGTATGCATGACCTGCCATTGTTCAATACGCACAATTGATCATCTAAGTAAAAGTACACGAGACAGAGGGTTGTGGGTAGACGTGACTTCCTATGCTACACAGAATTCCTGTGAAATTTGACTAAAAAGCTCAACAAAATGGGGAAGAAAAAAAAACGTGCACAAAACAACACAAATAACGTTTCGGCTGGGCCGCCTTTGTCAAACTACACAAAAATGCTACATAACATGGACTATAGGAAGAAGTATTTATCAACTAGCGTTTCTAGAACATCCGCTAACTTTTTATATATTTAGAACATTAAGAGGTGTAGCAGCGGCCAAGCTACTACAACCTCCCCTCGATAAATTGTTTGCAAACCGAGTTGTGACTGACTGACTGACTGACTGACTTTCTACCCCACCAGGACATCACACAAGCGATAAACACCCGATGACACAAATTGCACCATGTGGGTTAGTATCATCGTGGAGAGGTCCCAGAAACCGCGTTCAGACAATTGGCCATATTTATGGCCTGCCTATATTGCGGCCTCTGGCAAAAGCCAGGGTGGGGCTTCAAATAACAAAAAATGTCGTCCTAAAAAGGACGATACACGTTATATAAGCTATATATAATGAGCTCTGAAGATTGTGGGCTCATTTTAGAACTTCATTTCCGGTCCAAAGTGTAGTGTTTACAAAATTGTCTTAGTATAGTTTCTGAAGCTATGAAATTCGTGCTTTACGCGATATTCTCATTGGCAACTGCCCTTCTAGAAAGACAGACCAGATCATATATGAAAAAACTCGGTGCAATGAAGACAGTAGTCTCAACTACAACTTCAACACACATGGATGTGCACTCCACAATTAGTCATCCTCTTTATTCTCTTGCGTCCTTTATCCCAGGTGCATACGCTTTCAAAAGATTTGCACCAATTTGTCATATCTTTTGCTACTGTATGCACCTCACTTCATTCTAATCTTCTTCTTCACTCCATTCTTACCACTTCAGGTGTCAAGGGAGATAAGAGGTTCTGCTTCTTGTTCTTCTGGTCGTCATAACTATGGATGGATCGTGCTCTTTTAAGGTTTCTCTGATGCCATCTTTCCATCTTAATCACCTGTCTCTAATTCTTTTCCCCGTACATTGTGTGTGTTAGGTGTGTGTGCGTGCGTGTATGTGCGCTACCGTGTGTGTTGTGCTGTTGTAATGTTTCTTCCGGGCTGGTTAAATGACCATTTCAATTGTGTTTAAGCTTTGGCTCACCGAGACAAACACACACAGTTATTTGGTAGTCACAGTAAGCTCTCAAATACAACAAAATGCGACCAATTTGACTTCCTGTGCATGTACAACTAAAACAACAATGAACAAGAAGACATCTTGTGTATGTTTCATTAGACACTTTTTTGTGCATTCAACATGGGAGGAATTGTATTTATTTAGTCTACTGTCTTGGCTGGTCTGTGTTCATAACTCTTTTGTTTTACCGTGCATTACAACTATTAACTGCTCTGTGCATTAATTCTTTCTATACCATACATTACAGCTGTTGGCTGGTCCGTGCTCTCAGCACTTTTCTATACCGTAGCTCTTGTTTGGGCTGTTGGTTGGTGTGTGCCCTAAACTCTTTCTATACCATACACTACAGCTGTTGGCTGGTCGATGCTCTCAACTCTTTTCTATACCGTACATTACAGCTGTGGCTTGTCTGCGCTTTCTTTTGTACCGTACATTACAGGTGTGGCTGGTCTGTGCTTTCTTCCATATTGGACATTACAGCTGTGGCTAGTCTATGCTTTCTTCCATACTGGACATTACAGTTGTGGCTAGTCTATGCTTTCAGCTCTTTCTATACCGTAAATTATAGCCGTTGGCTGGTCAGTGCTCTCATCTCTCTCTCTCTCTCTCTCCAGCTGTTGTTTGTCTGTGCTCACAGCTCTCTCCTTACCCTACATTACAGCTGTGGCTGGTCTGTGCTCTCATCTCTTTCTATACATTTAAATGTTGAGCTGTACTGCTCTCAAACCACATGAAAACTACCGTTGTTGCCTCGACTTCCGTTCTCATACTGGGTTTTGTGACGTTATGCGTGGGGCTATGTTAACAGTATCCATTCACCTTTGCAATGTAAGCCATGCTCGGGGTCGCGGGTCATGGAAACTCGGGGCTGTAGCGGCTAAGACTCTCGGGCAGTGGAGCACACCAGCTGTTTTCCCTTGTGAGTCTCTGGGTCTAGCCTTGTAGGTGAAAAGGGGGTACTCCTGTGGTAAGTCATCTGGCCTGGTAAATCTTTCTACTATCAAGACGTTGTGCGTGACCGAAGAGGCACACCCTTCACGAGGTGACCCTGTTTATCAAGACCTCGCTGTCCTGGGACAAAAAACTACGAATCTAGAGGAGACAACCTCGTTTAAAAAGAAAACCAAGCCTAAAGTGGATCTACGTGCTGAGAGGCTAAATTGCTGTGGTATAGGCAGTCGCGAACATGAACGTCTGGTCAGCTGAAGGGGCGGCCCCAGGCGTCTGGACTCCATAAGGGTTGCCTCCTCCCTGGCAGGCAGACTCTAGAATGGTGACCGGTTACTTCCTGTTCGATAACAACAACATATAGATTTTTCATTTAATAGGAATTGTCACCGAAGCTACGTAGCAGGTGCTCTGCGCTTGACGTCATCTTCACCAAGCAGTGACGAGAGAGTTAAGCGAAGAAAACGAGGAAATGGTGAGAGAAGAAAGCAGAGAAATAGAAGGGCAGATGATTTAGACGAAAAACATAACGACAGAGGTTTAATCATGTAAGAGTGCGTTGTTGGAATTGTCGTGGTTCCAGACAGAGAGGGTCTATATTAGAGAGGTTGATTTGAGAGGTTTTTGATGTAATCATGCTTCAGGAGCTGAATGCAGGCAAATATCATTGTCCTGGATGTAACAGCTACCTAAACCCTGCTGGACATCATGGGAGACATGGGCATTGTCTGCAAGTAAAGGAGGGATTGAAACATGTGATGCTTGATCTGAGTCTCTGGAACAATGATGTTAGAGAGGTGCAGGGAATACAGACGGAGATTGGTGGCCTACGTTGGAACATAATAAATGTATATGCTGCCGTGGGCTCTTTAGTTACGAAGCAACAATGGGACTGGCTGAAAGACCTGGAGGGGATCCTTGGCAACAGGCTCCTTATTTGTGGGGATTTCAGTGCACGGAACAATGAATGGGACAGTACTGGGGAAAACCGACAGGGAGTTGCCCTTGCTGACGCCATGGTAAATTCAGACCTTGTCTGTATGAATGATGGGAGGCCAACTAGAATGGCAATGATGCAGACACGGCTATTGACCTGGCTTTGTTTACCTAATCAGCAGTACTGGGCACCAAATGAAATGTCAAGGGCGATCATGGAAGTGACCATCAGCCATTTTTGATAATGATCTCCAAATCCAGGAAAGTCAAGGCTTCAAGAGTTCATAGGCCTTTCAAGTATGAGCGGACAAACACCTTTCTTCGACTCCTCCGACAGAGGGCATGTAAGAGGACCGGCAGATTACTTTTGTGTAGCCTCCATGGTGGACATCAGAGGATGAACAGGCATGGGAGTTAAAGAGAGCTGCAGTAAAGCGTTTAAACAAAGTATAGCAGACAGCCCTAAGCTCACAGGAGTTGGAGTGTGCGGAAAGAGATAAGAAGGATAAGAGAGTTTGTCGAGCGCTGTGCGACAGGGGTCGAAAAAGCAAAATGGGAGCATTTTATTGATGAGATTGGGGGCGATAAGACATTTTGAAAGTTTTGGAAGCCTCATAGGCTCAAGAAAGATTGGCCCAGCGTAGTAGGAGCAATTCGTAGAGATGACGGTATCCTATTAACCACGGACAAAGAGAAGGGGAAGGCTTTCCTGAAGAAGTTTATTTCACAGACAGACTACAATGATATAGATAACAGAGTTACAGTCAAAGAAGATCTGGTAGCCATCTTAAAGAAGAAGCATAATGAAGACATCATACAGGTGGAAGATGTAAAACGTGTTCTGAAAAGGGTGAAAGACACTGCGCCCGGGCCCGACGAGGTTAGATATTCCCATATGAAAGACATGAGCGATGCAGACCTGGTGGAGATGACTGCTTGTTTCAACCGGACACTGGGACAGCTTCAGTCCCAGAAGAGTGGATGCAAAGTTACCTGATTCCACTTCCTAAGCCTGGCAAGAATCATTTAACACT